GCGACAAGAGCGTAATAGTGACGGGCACGTATATAATTTTCCTGGGACTCTGTTGGAGAACGCGATACAACACTTGCGGGAGAGAAAGAAAAAGGGAGACGCTCGTGACGATAATTTGAGAGACGAGTCGTCAGAAGGCGAAAAGATAATAAGAAAAGGGCTTTTCGTAATAATAAGGATGAAAACGGGGTTGTATCGGCGACCCACAGATGGTCACCTAGAGTAGCGCATACACATCGTAGATATACGCACACACATCGCGGTGCAATTTAGTCTGCCTCCCTTCTCGCGTCGCGTCGCGAACGACGGACGACAGCTGCATGCGCGCGAGTCTTTGGGCCCTCCTCGTCGGTATTCCCGGAAAGCCACCATGCTGTTGCATAAAGACGGCGTAATTATTTCTATATAATTCGCTCAGGATACCGAAGTGGCCCCCGCGTAAGGAGAAAAGGGACAAAAAGTTTGCCACCGTGAGATTCCTGGTAGGACGTCGTTAAGCGCGCCGCGCGGGCGAGTGGAACGAACGGACGAACCAACCAACCAACCAGGCCAGCCAACGAACCAACATCGTGCCCTCGAGCGTCGGCTTTGACGCGGTCGAGAGAGACAGAAGAAGCGACTCGAAAACGTCGAAGATAAAGAAATAGAGGAGAAGAGACTTTTAAATTCTCATTTCTTTGTATTTTTACGACGAAGAGAGAGATTAGGCAACCTTTAAATTCTCATTTCCATGTCTCAACTTTGACACTAAAGGAAGAAATAAAGATAGAGAAAAGGGGACTTTTAAATTTTCAATTGTTATCTCTAAACTTTGATATTGAAAAGAAAGATGGAGGTAAAAAGAAGGAAATTTCTAAATTCTCAACTGTATCAACTTTGATGCTAAAAAGAGAGATAGAGAGTAGAGGACTTCTAACTTTTTATTTCCATCTCTCTCAATTTTAATATTGAAGATAGACAGAAAGAGACTTTTAAACTTTCATTTCCATCTCTCAACTTTGATGCTGAAGAGAAAGATAGAGATGGAAGAAAGGAGACTTCTAAATTCTCATTTCCATCTCTCAGTTTTGACACTGAAGAGAAAGATTGAGAGAGAAGGAGACTTTCAAATTCTCATTTTTATCTTTCAACTATGATGCTAAAAAGAGAGATAGAGGAGCGCTAAATTTTCATTTATAATCTTTCAATCTTCGCCGACCTCGATTGGCGGTGGCGGTGGCGGTCGCGTTCAGGGTTCGGCGAATCTCTCCAATCCACGGATGGCACAAATCGCGCGCGACGCGATCCGAATGTTCGAGCGCGCGAGGCACGATATCGCTTTTATTCCACGCTCGGCTTAACCGCGGCACTCTATATGCATGACGTGTGTATATGTATGTAGGTCAAACCATAATGAAATTCCGCGTATTAATAACGCATTGTATCGCATTCTTAGGGAGCGAGAGGGAGAGAGAAAGAGAGACACGCTTGGTCGCCGATACGAATACAGTAAACAGCGCGCCTTGACGTTCGCCGTTCTCGTCGTTGCGTGCACTTCGCGGGGACATACGCACTTCGCGGATCTAGGTCAGATTAAGATGGAATTCAGGCTAATAACGCGAATACGAATTGCACACTCGGTATTTGTCAGTAAAGTCGGCCACGACTCGGTACGAATCTCTCGCATCTCTTCCGCCGTTCTCAAACGTCAATGAAGGCCGACACCTCTCCTTCTTCTCCTCCACTCACTCCCGTGCGACAATAGTCAATGCTGGCATTAATCAACCGCGATGAAATTCACGTGCGTCCACGAATATATATCAACGTCGGTCGCTCGCGCAACGCACCGTATAGCCAACTGCGTCGGTAGATACGATGTTTCTCGTTATTCCGAGAATTGTGTACTGTGGCGCGTGCGCGCGCGCGATATACATACATACGTATTACCACGAATGCAGCCCACGTCCCGCGCTCCCCGCGGCGCAGCTCGTGCAATCGCGAGAATCGCGTGGCGAAATCCCGTCGTGCGTTTCCGCCTCTCTCTCTCTCTCTCTCTTTCCCTCTCTCCCTCTCTGATTCTCGCACGTGTGAACGAGTGAACGCACAATGCGAAATTTGTGCACGGTATCCTGTATGTGTGTTTCAACGTTTCACAGAGAAAGAAAGAAAGAGTGAGACAGCGATACTTATTATGTGCTCCGGGACACGTCGCCTAAGGTGCAACAGAAAATATTCACTATAATGATAAGTGACGTTTACATAATTCTGTGATTTATGGAAGAAACAAAACTGTTCAATTGTATGAGCTGTACAAATAAAGAAAAATACTAATACGGAAGATTGCACGGGAAAAGAACAGCACGGTTGACCTACACATAAGTCTGATTGTGCCAGATTCAATCTGGTCGGCACAATCAGATTTATGTGACCTAACCATACTGTTTTTTCCATATTTACAGAGAGTTTATTATGGATTTACAGACAGAAGGAGAAAGAGAGAGAAAGAGAAAGAGGGAGGGACCTTCTTTTCTTTCCTACGAGATTGTGTGACGCGCACTGCGGCATAGATACCGCGGGATCGCAATTATCATCTGGCGAGCGATGAATACGAGGAAACCGCGTTGCGGCTTATCGTCCTTTAAAGTTCCCGGTAGAGATCGATAATTGCGACTGCAGCACGGAGACTATTATCGACTGATTTATCTGTCGGCCCGATGACTCTCACTATTTTGAGAAGGCTCGTCTCATTGACAGTGCGTGTATTTCGGTCTCGGAAGAACCTCGGGCGGCACTGTAACGCTTCCGCTTAATCTGCTTAATTGCCTGTAGGATGTTGAGCAAGTGAGGCGAATGTTTCCTGAAAGCGCGCTCATGCTGTCGACAGTTTCTAAGATCACCACTGTACTCGCCCGAGTACCTGGTACCGCGGTGTGCAATGTCGTTTTCAGTAAGATTCCTTTCATACCACTCGACTCGGAAACACATCGACTTCTTGAAATTCGTTTTTTGAAAGGTGCCGGCCCTGACCGATGGCATTATACTTGTTCACGGAAACGCCCCCCTCTCTCTCCCACCTTGTCCTTCTCTTTTTTTAAGGAGCAAAACGACACATATGTCATTTTTCAGAAGTGTACTGACACGCGCGTCGCTTCGAATTTTATGGCTTCTCGGTATCGTTTGCCGTTATTTATTGTTCATGTTGTGCGTACCTTGGTTGGTTGCTTTAATGACCTTTCGGTATCGCCATATATGCTCTTTTAATTTGTGAGCACGCGCTCGTTCTTCTACGAGATGTCTGATAGCATCGTAATCGCTCGTGTAATTACCTTTTATTTCAAAGGAATCTTCATTAATGCGAACTCTCGAACGCTATACATGAAACATGCACGTCTGCAATTGCAGTATAACGATTGACTCCTCGGCATGGATTTTGCAATGGAGAAATATATTCTTTTTATGCCAATCAAGCGGGGAAAGGGGGGGGGGGGAGAATTACTTAAGAATAAACCATAGCCAACCTGTTAGGCTCGAAGGGAAGGAATTTTCTGTACCATCTCTCTCTTCGGAGTCAAAGTTGAGTGCTGGAAATGAAAATTTGGAAAAATTTCTTCTCTTTTATCTCTCCCTTCAGTACAGAAAAAATTATTATCCATTTAAAACTAATATACTCAAATTAACTATTATTGTCTCATATGTAAGCAACTATGTAATTTTGTTAGAAGAATTTAAAAATTTTGAATTTCAACAAAGTTACAATTTTATTTGAAAATTATAATAGCCTCGTGAAAAGTATAGTACGATTAGTTTGCTGATAATGATATCTTCTTCCGACATTTAAAAACATATTCTCAAATGCAACATTTTGCCCTTTCCATTCGTGAAGATTATTCTTGAATAATAAAAATATATTTTTCCTTGTTGAATCACATATAAAATGTATCAATGCGAGTAACTTATTTTCGTTTAACGCTATGCAATCCCACTTTAAGATGTAAAAAATGAAGGTACTTTCAGGACTAGAATATTTTTCTTTTCTATGCATTAAAGTTGAGAGAGAAATGAAAATTTAGAATTTTCCTCTCTTTCCCTTCTCGTTTCCTTCCTTTCCTCTTTCCCTTCAGCATCAAAGTTGAGAGATGGAAGCTCGAATTTGCTATACCTGTGTCGTACAGACGAAAAGTCTAATGAAACGCTTATTTCTTGTGGGAAAACACTCGTTCCTGCGATTAGCATTGCAAAGTCCGGCACTTCCGATCGAAATTCTCGTCGTTGACTCGTTAGCAGTTGCGTTTGCGTGTACGATTACTTCCCGGTATCGGCTGCGTGCGCGCGATAATCGGTCCGCGGGAATACAATTAATCGTTAGACGCCGCCGCGTCGTGTTATCAAGAAAGAAGCGATACGACTTTTGCGTTCCAGGTTCTTCTACGTATGACGAACAAGTGAATTGTTGACGTATACGCTCTCGAGAGCTAATCCCTGTCTGTCGTCACCACCACGCGATGTGATCTTCGATCGTGTACACTCGGTTACTAAACGGTAGCCACACATTTTTCCCAATGAAGGTGTACAGCTCTTCCAGTTCTCACAAATTAAAAGATACTGCTGACATGTAATCAGTTACGTCAGGAATTGAAGTGACAGTATAGAGTGCGAAAATAAATTTCATTAACGCAACATTTAAATTTTGTTATTCTCCCATAGTTTAAATCACGAACTTGAAAACTTTGAAAGTTCAAATAAATTTCTTTATTAACTGTGCGAACGCACGATCAGCAGCAGTGTCTCTCAATTGTGACAACCAAGAGGCGCTGCAACTTCATTCGGAAAAATGTGTGGCCACCGTTTAGTAGCCGAGTGTACACAACGTAATACACACACATACACATACAGGCAAAATGACGGAACTATTTTTATATCCGAGAAGCGCGGCCGATAATTAATTCAATAACGCCGATTCTCGCCAATTGACACCTAGCCGAGAACCGATCGTCTATCAACCATCCGTTTCGTTCTTCCAGACCCAGAGAGGCGTAAACGTGTTATGCCGATTGCTGTGCTCCGATTCCGGACGTGCGAGACTCCACGACGATGCTGACGGTGATGTGTCCCAACTGCCGGCACCGTTTTCGGGCAGCGCGATGCTGCGAGCCTGCCGGTGGCGGCGGAGGAGGAGGAGGAGGAGAAACCACCACCACCAGCAGCAGCTGCAACCGAAGGGAGGAGATGTTGGCCGAGGAGACGAGAGTCGTGAACGCCGGCTTCCCGGCCACAGCGACGACCACCGCGGCCACGGCGCCCACGACGGCGGCCTGCTACGTCGGCGGCCTTCTGGTGCCGCACGGCTACACCAGCGGTGACGGGACCTTCATAAACGCGCCCACGATCGTCCACGGACCCGCTGTCTTTCAGTCGGGTATGACCACTCCTACCGTTGAGATCGTCAGCTCCGATGCTACCACGATGGCTGATCACGCACAGCGACTCTCCGGCGCGATTCCTCGCAGCCAAGCGTTCGCGAGGCAGAGCTCTTGCCACGCGACCTCCTCGTTGATGCATTCGTCGCGGACGAGCTCGCTGAACGAGCCGCATTCTCCCGTTATCGTGGATTATGGGATAACGACACCCACGGAACAGCACGTCGCGACCAAGTGCGAACTCACCGACAGCACCGTGACTATCTCCACGCCCGGCATACAGTCCGGCGGTTATCTGATTCAGAGCACGGAGACTGGGATCTTGGTGCAAGCTCCGAAAGCGAGCATCGAGATCCGGCCGAAGCTCAACGACAGCAGCTGCCTCGTGCAAGATAAATCGCCCGAGGATGAGCGGCTGACAGCGTCTAGGTACAACACAGAGGCTAACAATATTCACCGGACACTCGTCGCGCCTCCGAGCGGATGTTCGGAATTGCCTGGATGCAGGAGGACATCGTTGTCCAGGATAACGACGGAGAGCAACGAAACGATGGAGTCGAGGCAGCGGAAGATACCGTGCTCGATAAGGACGAACAGTTGTTGCTGCTGCGGCGGCAACGGCGACGGCGGGACCGTTCAGAATCTCTGTCAGTGTCACGGTCGGCCGTACGACGTTTCGTCTCTCGAGAACAATCACGACTCCTTGTTGGTGGAGCCAATGGGCGGTGGTGGTGTGCAAATTCAAGTGAATGCCACGTTGCAGCTGCCCGCGAGCCTCGGCCAATGCAAGGTAAACATCACGGCGACGACGGCGGCGTTGCCGACGTCGAACCGGATGATCGCGACGGAGTCGCGCGTCAGAAACAACTTCAACGGCGGCGGCATCGTGCAGCCGGACGAGATCGTCAACAACAACGAGCGGAGCGACGGCACGCCGACCACACCGGTGTCCTGGCTCATGCCTTACCCGTGGAACTTGGACACGTACTTGATAGACAAGGATATAAACCGTCTGTGCGAGGTGAAGAGACTGCTGCAGATCTGTGGCTGGTACCACGAGGGCATCAGTTGGCAGCAGAGCGAGAACCTTCTAAAGAACGCGCCCGTGGGCCGCTGGCTGATGAGGGATAGCTCGGACAGCAGGTATACCTTCGCCGTGTCCGTGCAGACCAACAGAGGCCCCACGTCGGTCAGGGTGTACTACTTCCTTGAGCGGTTCCGGCTCGACGCCGAGCCGCGGCTGGTGCTGACGATGCCGCTCTTCGACTGCCCTATCAAGATGCTGGAGCACTATGTCGAATACTCGAAGAAGATGGACGAGCACCGGCGGGAGGTGTGGGTCGACTACAGCGGCCAGCTGTACAGTCAGATCTATCTGACGAAGCCCTTGGTCAAAGAGGTCAGGTCGTTGTCGCATCTGGCCCGACTCGCCGTGCACCGGAACAAGCTGCCTACAGACAACCTGCCGCTCTCAATCAAGAACTATCTCGCGGAGTATCCGTATACGCTTTGAGTGCGCGGTGTGTCTCTTCGCGACCGACATATACGCGTCTATCTTCCAGTAAATCTATACATACATATATTAAGCGGAGATTTTATTTTTCTATAACGCGGTGCGCGCGCGGAGAGGTCTCTCTTTGAGATCGCTCGTTCGATGGATTTGATTGGCTACGTCTCTCTTTCTCTCTCCCTCTCTCTGTCAGGTCAAGTTGACGATGGAGATTGTACACGAGTGTGGAAAGAGAATGTGAAGTTCGGAGAACGCGATAATACGTTTCTTAATCCAAATTATAACAGAGAATATTGCTCTTCGTCGAAACTCGCTTTGTAAAATACCGAGGTACTTTTCTTTCACATAGATTCGTGTAATATCTCAATCAAGAGGTCGTGAAACGACTGACGCGAACTTTAAAGTTCAATGAGGGTCGCGTCTGGTTATAGAGAGAGAACTACTCTACGTATTTCGGCGCTTTGAACAAAACTGATAAGCTCCGCGCGTCACACGTCGTAGGCAGCTAAAGCGAATACGAGGCACATCAGGTTAACTTGTTTTCATCTCGACCGTCGGCCGATCTATCGGAGACAATACACTACGTAATAACGAGCATAATAAGTCGAGAGAAGTGCATGAAAGAATAGGCGTGAGATCTTTGAAACGTCGAGAGCGGGAAAGTACGCTACTCGCGAGTCTTGGACTCGGACGGAATCAGTTGGCGCACGCCACGGCATAATATTAGAATATGTACGCGATACACACATATATATACACACATGTACATGTACGCGTACGTCGGATTCTATCACCAAACACTTCGCGGTAAAAAACGAAGGAGAAAAAAGCTACTTATATGCATTCAAAGGGGCAGGAGAGCGCGCGACTTGTCTCGCGCGTCGAAAGCATGCCAAGATCGTCGATCGGTTCACGTGAAACGGTTTATACGAAAGGGTACCATTTACATACCCTGATTGAACGTAATCTCGATAACTATACCTTTGATAGTTCGCGAGTACTATTGAGATATTTAGACAACGATACCCATTCGAATAATACTAAAAAACGAGAAGGAGGAGGGACGGTCATGAGAGATATTCGACGTGCCACACATGGACGTTCGAAGTTACAGCGATCGTATTTATTTGTGAAAAGGGAAGAACAATTCTCTATCATTTCTCGTAGTACTGTCGCGATAGAGATAGTCACGCTTTATGTATCGCGGAATTGTCGCAGTAGCTCGCGCACGGAGGACGTAACATTAAGTTTATTTTATTGGACGAGCAACGTGGAACTTTGACGCGAGCAAGCGAGTATCGTATCGCTAGCAAACGGCAGAAGAAGGAAGAAATTCGCGAGTCCTTCTCTTCCGAACGCTATGCGAATGACAGCAGAGGTGTGAAAATTATTAGAATAATTTTGATTTCTTTATCCATTTTCTCTAATTGTTCTTATCAATTAATGCATAATTTTTAGGAGATATTATAATTTGTTATCGATACTTCTTATAGATTTAAAATGATTACAGATTTTTATTATATATGGGATAACTAAATGTGATATAAATAATGATGGATATATCGTATAGTATATTATATCCTGTGTTGTATGATATATTTGGTATATAAAGATAAATTTTTTATATTAGAAATAGCGGGTTACTTATACACTAAGAAAAATACTGGAAAATTCATTTTTGGGATAAAGTTTATTTTTGTGAAATAATTTGTCATTTACATAATTTAGTCGTGTAACATGTAATCTGTAATTATCGAATCTGAAATTATTTGAAATCTATGAGGAATATCGATAACAAATTATAATATTTCCTGAAATCAATTATTTATTGAGAAGAATAATTAGAGAAAATGAATAAAGGAATGAAAATTATTGTAATTATTTTCAGTTCTTTGCATATATCTGTTTACCGAGTAGCGAACTCGGAAATAATCAATCGTTTCATTTCTTATCCGCTGATTTCCATTAAAAAATTTGCAATGTAAAATAACCTTTACGTTGAAAGTCTAGAGGAACTCGAGATTCTGTGTTTCTTCTTCTTTTTTTTTTGTTTTTAATCATACTGATGGTCTCGCGACCGCGCTTAATGCAGTTTAATCATTAGACAATTTGATGATTGTGTTACGTCCGTCGTTCGTGTAATTCTTTCTCGATTGCCGCATGAGGAAACGCTCATTCACTTGCCCCGTCGACGCGCCCTCAGCAGCTGGAGACCTCGCGAAGTCTAATTGTCGCGCGCGTGCGCACACTGTATCCGCTGTGTTTTAAATCACAATCGGGAAAGATCTCGTACGATTCTTTTAATCTCCGTGAGCCAATCGCTCCTTGTGTTTTACTTTTGACAGCTGGACGAAGCGAAACGTAGACTTAGGTGTGTAGATTTATGTGCGTCACACTCGAGGATGAGCACAGCACAGCTTGAATCAACGTCGACTAATCTGCTCGATCCTAACCCTCCAGATTTCTGACAATTCTGCGATCTCTCGGGTCGCCGTTCTTCGATCACTTCTCCGCGTGGCGGTTTTATAAACTTTTCATATTCGTAGCGCCTATACGCCGATTGGTCTGACTGTATTCAGTCTGACTGTATTCCAAATTGACTCGTTAGACTCTAGTCGGTCAAGAGTTCAGCCGCTGCTTCGGATCCCCGAGATTAGTTGATGCGATGGCTCGTGTGAGCTTTCCTACGACAGCAAAGCGGTCTCTCGTCGAAGCTGCCGCGTGGATCCCGTGTTGTAAAACAGGGAAGCGAAAAAAGAAAAGAAAAAAACAGTAGGCGTATACGAAAGTTAGGTATAAAGTTACTATACGTGCGTCCCATGAGCCCGGACACTCACTCCCGTTTGCACACACATACACACACAACAACACACAAGACATACATATATGTATATATTTTTCTAAAAAACCGCGAAATTCCGAGCGAGTCTCTTAAGGATAACTAGAAAACATTGCGTGTACGGGAGACTTAGCGGAGAGAGAAGGAGAAGTAATAGCCGTAGGAGCGAGAGGAGGAGCGGGAGAAGGAAGAAGGAGCGCGTGTGTCGCGCTGGCACGTATAAATAAGCGCGTGTGCATCGTATGTATGCGAAGGCGTGGGTGACTGCACGCTTTTGCGAACGTATACGTACGCATACGGCCGTGGCGATTGTTAACGGCTCGCGCGGCGTAGTGCGCGAGAGAATAGTAGCGCGTGTGTGTGAGCGTGTGTGTGTGTCTGTCTCTACATTAGAGATATGCGAGCGGTTCGGTACCGAGGCGATTCTCAGAAGCGGTAATTGCTACGAGATAACATTACACGCGATTTGCGCGCGCGTATGTGCGTGTGCGCGCATGTAATTTGCAGTTGCGATATAAACGCGATAGACACAAGCGCGTTGTGTCATGGCGACAGCGAGGCTGGGGAAGGGCAGAAAGGGAGGGAGGGAGGAAGCAAGCAAGCAAGCAAGCAAGCAAGCAAGCAAGCAAGCAAGCAAAGTGGGGTAAGATTAGAAGATGTATAACACGTAGTTTTGCGAATGTACGTGTATTAACGTCGCACGGATGCCTCGCGGATCTCTGCGCGGACTTGCCCTCCCGTCGGCTGGAAAGATCTCCAGGGACATGTCACTTTCCCGCTTGCGAGTCAGAAAAGTCGCATGTAAAAAAGCCGCTTGTTATGAACTCTATCTCGCAGCGACGAACGAGACGGCGTCGGCCGTTGTCGGCGGTAGCTAGTTTCGGTATGGTGTATCGTATCTGCGCTCGGGCGGAGACTGATCAGGCCGAAAACTGCCAATTTTCACTCGTGAAGTTTGTGTGCCTATGCGCGACCCGGGGCCCGTCGTTCGCTCGTCGACACTCGCCTGACGAACGTTCGATTGCACACGGCACAGCTGTGTGTGGAGTCGCTAAACACGCGCGTTGTACCGAATGCTGGGCGAGCGAACCGTCTGGGTCGGCTTTAGAGACGCTCGAGTCGGAACTAGGTCGATCCAATCTCTCGAGGTTTTGTCGCATCGACGTGTGCTCGCGAGCAGCGGAGGACAATTGGCCACGTTATGCAAGAACGACCTTCAACTCGCAGACCTATGATTTTTGAGTTTTTATCTCACCAATAAATAGTCCACACGTCCTTCTACATGAAGCATAAAAGATCTAAAAATTTATGGGCGCTTTAATTAATTAAATAACAATTTTTGCTTATTTTCCGCTTTTATTTGTTGCGTCTTTTATCATTTCGAGGGCTAAACTTACCAACAAAGGCCTCTTTAGACCCGCATTAATAGTTATTATTTGAAACTCGTTTCACAAGTGAGATACTCAGATTTAAATTCATAGTTAAATGAGAGTTTTGAGAGTCGAATCGCGCGATTACTGATATAAATGTCACATATGTATCGTAATTCAATTGAAAAACTTGGATTTAACTCTGAATAAAAATCTGAGTATTTCACATGAGATAAGTTTCAGGTAATAACTGTTAATACAGGTTTTAAAGAGAAGAAAATTGACCATGCTTCTTGAACGATTGCGAAGAACTTCAGTGCTATTTGTATTTTTTAAACTTTTATCTTTATTTTTCTCAAAACGTATTTCTTGTAGGTTGGATCATTTTTGCATAACTACGACCAATCATGTCAATGTCATTTTTTCATATACGATGAAACCGCATTGAAAGATCCTCCCGCAAAAGTGCACGGAAAGCTTAGTAAAACTTGGTGAAGAGAAAAAAGAACGAAGAGTCCGCTACTGGCGAGACCGCGCTTCGTCGAACATTCTTAGTACAAAAGATGATCAGGAAGATTCGAGCGCTTTTCTAAGTCTGTCTTCACGATATTATTTGTCTTGAGTATATTATCGTTATGTAATATAGCATTCCTCGTACGCGTTCATCACTAGCGTGTAATCTTTCTTGTTGTTGGTCGATTTTGTGCGAAAAATTTCAACGCAAGGAAGGACGAGGATGTTTTCGAGGAATTCCAACCCGGATATTGCAACGAATGCATGTTTATATTTTGTGCAAGGCAGATTTAGGATTACTTCTAAGTATTTGTGTCATTATTCACTCTGTATCTGTCATGACGTTGTCGATGCAACCGCATGCATTCTCGCAAATTCGGAAGGGCTGTCTCAACATTTGAAGCGGTCTCTTTTTCCCTCTCTCCCTCGGCGAAGCTCTGTTCTGTGATACATCGAGGCATCGCCGAGTAATTTGAGGATATGCATCAGGGGAGAGGGGAGATTTTGCTTTTCAAACGCGACTCGGATCGACCGGATATATTGACTCGCGTGTCGTTGTCGTTAGATTCTTTTCCGCATACGACACCTTTATGAAACATCTACGCACTTCGTATATAAATTAAACGATGTTTAAGGACTTTCAAGACCATGTCTTTTATATTGCAATTAACACGATATGTATAGCGAACAAATTATAAATTATTAAAAACCTATTTATTATGAAAGAAAGTGTTATCTATGTTGTATTTCCTGTCATATTTTTTCTCGGTATATTACTGTTAATATTGTTATTATTTTAGCATTATTATCATTCAATCGGTATAATCGTTCAGTACCTCTTACAAATAATTTCCTACGAGTAACACGTATATTTCCGTGCTAATTATGTTTCAAAGACCTGTACTGACTTAAAATCTGGAAATTTTAAGTTATCCGACTCGTTAAGTAATACTATGATTTCAATCTTTAATGACTACTTTAAAGACGGTGACTTGTTGGAATCTTTGGGCCAAAAGCACTTTGAAGCTTTTATTTTTCTTATAAAAAGTTGTTAGGAAAGTTAACAATTTAATCATAATTTTAGAGCGCTATGGTCTACGTGGCGCCATCTAGTGGTATCGATTAAAAATCTGTTAAGCGTAAGTAGAGTAAGTAGGAGTAAGTAGAGGAGTAGTAGGGTTCGAGTCTTGGCTAAGTGAAGAAAAAAGTTTGAATTTCAGCTAAAAGAATATAGAGAATTTGAAAAAGGAATTCCTCGCTGAGCTTGAATCGAGGACCCAAAACAAAATTTGAGAAATTAATAATGTTGAAAAGTAACTATATGATTGATGTATATTACGTATATTGATGTACATATATTGATTACATGATGAATATATTGTATATTGATATATATATATATTAATATTCAAAAAAACCTTTCTTGAAAAATTAAATTTGTCTCTGAATTTAGTTCCAAAGTCTCCGCTACAAGGCGCCACTTCATCTTCAATCGAGTCATCTTCATCAATCTTCATCTTCAATGAACAATCGAAGTCGTAGTACGACTCAATGACAAATCAGACGGACTTTTATTTTCAAGTAATACGACTTAACAATAAGTTAGACCATTATATTATTTTAAAAAATAACTCAACGGTACTTCAAATAAAACTTTTTATTATTAATTATTGCGATTTAACAATAGAACACAAAGGCTTTTAATCTCAAGCGATGTGATTTAACGAACGAGTTAGACCTTTTATTTTTAAGCATTAACTCGTCATGTGACTTTTCTATTTCTAATTAAACTAACTATAAATATAGCCAAATGACAGTTCAAAGGGATCTTTATTTTCAAATTACTCGTCTCGAGAACAAGTCGAATTTGGGAGTCGATTTTGTATCTCAAAACAAAGTGAAAATGACAAAAGTGAGCAAATTTACTAGAATATATGTAACTTTATTAGTCTAATGCCTAGTGAATTTTCTTACTTTTGTAATTTTCACTCCGTTTCGAGATACACAATCGACCCCCTGAAAACATCGAAAATATAATTGATTCTGCAGCTCGAATATCGATTCATTAGTCGAACATCGTTGACCCTGCAGTTTGTTCTTTTTCGCTGCACTTTTTACTTGCTACTTGCACTTGTTGCTACTTGCACTAATTCTTTTCTTTTCTTTTTTTTTACCAAGTCTGAACTACATCTCTAAATCTATTCTTTTTAGCTGAACTGTCCGAATTGGAGCAAAATATACTTGTCTCACTTTAACTTATTAAATCAGTGTACACTCGTTCAGACAGTTCAGCTAAAAAGAACAGACTTCTAGTTTACATCATGGTTGCCCTACGATTGCTCCTAGCTGTCAACACCGATCAATTAACAGCATAATGTCTAATAAAGTAAGTGTTTCGAGTGCTTATAATGTGTCAACACAATTCTCGTATTGCATACTATGTTTTTAATTATAAGAGAAAAGATAAAATCACGAGTCACACTTTCTTCACATTTCTTGATTAACATGCGTGCTCGAATTTGACATTTTACGGTCAAGGCTTCCTTTTATACGAATTAACCTCGAAATTATCGACATTTCGCTTGCCGTAAAACTAGGTAAATGTCAATAGTACATCTCGTCGTAATAATGGAATATGGACTTTGTGACTCATTACCTATGCATGCACACTCCTTATGAGAATTCACGCAAGGCATAACTCGTTTTCATCATTTTTTATTCATAAACAATGATGTTGGTAACGATATGTTATTGTAAGCCTGTACTTTCTATACACAATGCATTAATGATAATTTATTCTTTTTCAGGGAGCTACTAAAAAAGCTGAGCTTAAGGATGATATTAAGACACGTACACGGTCAAGACCAAAGAATCCATCAAGCAATGAGAATCACATGGAAACATCGAGAAAATTGGAGCTCAGAAAATCACAGACTACCGAGCACAAAGGTGATGGGGATAGATCGTCCAAGTCATCACATAGTTCTTCAACGAGTAGAACACAATCAACTAGAAGCACTAACAAACAGTTGGTTGGAACCTCTCAACCTAAAATTATCAAACAAAGTGTTACACCCTCGACGTCAAAATCTAGCTTGATTAAAGCTTCATTGTCCAATCACTCGACAAAAGTGAGCACGAGTTCGAAGATGAGGACTGAAAAGCTTGCTACTAAGTCAAACGACGATAGCACGATGAAGAAACGGAAATCCAGAGAAGCTGGATACTCGGAGAAAAGAGGTCTCAGCACGATATATGTACCGAAGACGACCACGAGCAAACTGAATGTTAAACTCAACGAGAAGACCTCTCGAACGACGAGGGACACGGGACAATTGCAAAAAGCTCCTGCAGTCGAACGAGCCAAATCGCGAATGTCGTCTAGAGAACGTAGGAAGTCCAGGACGCTGAGTCCCAGCGAGGTTAAGATGCTGCATAGTGCCATAAGGCGGCCGAGCAACGCAGAGAACGTGGAGAGGAACAGAGATACCGCGAGAGGCAAGGAGAGTCGTTCAAACGCGCAGGCGGACTCTGATGAAGTGGACTACGAGTACGAGGACGATTTCGAGGTAAAAGAGAAGAGGAGCAAGCGAAAGTAGCGGTTTTAATTTGGAGTGTAAACTTACATCGCTTCGTGTGGCTTTTCAGGATTACGAGTCCGACTTTCAGGAGTGTACCGACAGCGAGACTTCGCCTATCAGCGAGAGGTCGGACAGCAGCGACAGCAGTTCTCATCTGGAGCCTATCGAGCTGCAGATGCGGAAGAAGGTAGTGATAATCTGTTCGATGTTTTTAGCATCAGGCGACAAGATTAATTTTAGAGTTTTTAACGAAAGCGTGTCTGTCGTAGAAGAGCACAGTGAACAGCACGGAGCAAAAAGTCGAAGAGGAACGCATGCTGGACTCGGGACACTACGATCTCGCGGAGGCGAGGAAGAGAGCAGCGCGGGTGGAATCTATGTTTATAAATCAGTCGAACACACCGCCGTTGCCCGAGCTGAGAGAGCCGGTCGGCAAAACATTTAGGTTTGTGATAACCGGGATCAGGTATCAGAAGGAATAGACGAATATTTGGTTCCCGCTGTCTCTTCTATCGTTTGTTTGTCACACATGTTTCATTTTGCACATCTTGAAGAGTCTTGTTTATCTTGTGGAAATAAAGCATGAATTTACAAATAATCTAGTACGTTTATATTCAATGTTGGAAGCAGCGATGACAGACCGGCGGAGAACAAGTCTTTGCCGTCCTCCACCGACGAGGGCTTCGAAGACAGTCGCTCTGGAGATTTTACTAAATCTCCGCCATTGTCGCAGGTACCGTTCATAGACTTCCGCAAGTCGAAGGAAAATCGACGCGATGAGGTAATTTGCCTTTGCAAGGATATGTCGTAATATGTTGTCACGTTGAATAATTGTTATAATTACTCGAGAGGATTATTATAATTAAAAAGATAAAATAATGTATATAACAATTATCAATTATTATATTTTATAAATTTACACTTATATATATATATATATATATATATATATATATATATATATATAACTTATATATTTATATATTTATTTGATTTTATATATTTATACCAATTTTTTATATTTTTATATTTTACCAATTAATGTTATACAGTGCAAAAGATTTATAATTTTTCTATTAAATTCTCTTAATAAATTAAGAAGAAAATAGGAAGTTCTGGTAATATGTCTAAAGAAATACTAATGTTATTTATATCATTCGTAAAAATCAATGATTCTTCGAAATTGGATAATTTTGTTTTCTGTTTCTTTTAACAAACACGTGATAAACACGATTTTTGCACCAACCTAATAATATCCCACATGTATTTTTACATACCGACAACAGGTTTTTCCTTGTCGTTCGCAGACCTCACGAAAGCATCGAAGCAGGGGCGAGGAATTGTTGGAAATGATAAAGCTGGATTTTATGGAATGGTCGATCCTGGAGTGCAGTCCCGTGCCTTACGACGAGTTCATAAGAAATTACGGAAAGCTGAATACTCAACAAGTACGCATTGGTGAATTATAACTTGATCAATTCTCTATTATGTCATGTTTTGCAGATATTTACTCAAACCGGTGACGATAATATAGACATTGAGATACAAACGGACGAGATGCTTTACAGGAACAAGTGGACGCAATTTCCTGTAACTTGCAGGAAAGAATTGCACGATAACCAGGATGTAAACTTGTTTAAATTGGTAATTGATTAGTTGAATGTCTACAAACATACAATGAAGAGAATCCACGTTCTTATTTTCGTTAAAATTTGCAGGAACAAATCGGCGTAGGAAGTGATCTGGAGGATTCGGAGGATATAAATTTTCCCTTACGGCCGTCGTACGACGTGTTACGCTTGAATGATTTTCTGAGTCGCGCCGGCACGGTCGTGCTGTCATTATTGGAGGAAAAAGAGCACGGTGGCAACGTTTTCCAAAACGATGTGGAGGAATTACCATTCAGCGACGGTTTCGTCAAACTCTCCATAAACACGGTGACGTTTCTATCCAGCAGAGCGGTTAAGATTATACATTATTCGGACGTTCTGAGTAAAGTTCTGCTTACTATACATTCTCCCGTGGAAGAGGTGAGTAATTAACCGTCGTTCGATACAACTCGACGAAACGTCGTTAATCTTTGGTTTATCTTAATGCAGGAGATAGAAACCATCAGTAAGCAGGATTACATCACCGACTGTTGCATAGGATGTGTCTGGAACATTTCCGAGCCGTCAATGCCTAAGAAACTGTTCTACTCGCAGTGTCCCATCACTGCTTGCTGTTTTCATTTGACGAATTACAACGTGGTATTTGCCGGACTCGAGGATGGGTATGTGACTTAAGTTTCTTCTCTTTAAATGTGTACTGAATACAATTACAATGTGTTTGTATATTGTTTAATTTTATATTGTTAATTAGATATTACAAATAGATTACTGTTTTTTGTGCACCAACATCAATGTGCTGATCCTCATTTGCCTTTTACCATTTATCATATTTAGTTGATTTCTCCTCTTCAAATTTTTACACATCATTTGGGTTTATTTAAGAATGAAACATTTTGACCATAGATCGTTGAGTCTCTGGGATCTTAAGGAAGATGAGATGTGGCATCAGAAGGTCACGGACAACGAATTGGACTGGATAATAAGAACCCCTACTTACACGACCACGGCGAACACGGAGTCGGAAACGCACACATCGCAGATCGTCGCGATACGCGTGCTGTCCAAGATCGAGACCGCTTCTACGAAAGGAAAGAACGACAAGTTCGTCCCCATTCAGGTTCGCATACGCTCGCGATGCTTTGCTGTCGTTAAAAAATGTCCTACTAATCCTCGCTTGTACATAACGAATTTAACAGATATGTAGCTTAGACGAGGACGGTTGTCTCATAGTGTGGAGTATCGTGCATAATATGGGTGTAATTATCGACGACTTGGGACTCTCTCACTGGGGCGACATAAGACTCATAAAGAATCAGAAAACATCCTTGAGAAAGGGAGACGCGAAAATGTAAATACACTTCGTGAAAAAAATCGCGTCGTTTCGTTGTATACGCCCGATGGAAAGTGTTTCCTAATCGTCCGACTTTTTTCTAGAACGAGTGCGTTTTTCGATATGCATGTGGATAGTGCGGATACGAATAACGTTTACGTCGCGACTAACAGCACCGATGTCATGCATGTTACTTGCATCGGTAACAGAACTAACCCCTTAGCATACAAACCAGCTGAGATAAGTGAGTTGCTAAGTCCTATCGTTTTGATATGACTCTAAATGTGCATTGTGAAGTCTAACATTTATTGATTGTGCTAAATATTACAGGCGAATGCGGTAACTCGTCGTGCATTGACGTTTGTCCTTTTGGTCAATCGTTCTTCTTGGTAAGAGACTTCTCATTTAACTCAACTTTAAAATCCTACTTCATTTTTATTGAGAATCATCGATATGACTTCTGCAATTAAATTAGGTCGGCTGTGATGATGGAACGATTCGGCTTCATTTCTTGAACGTGGAAAGACCCATCATACAGCTGAAGAACGAACAGTACACAAATAGGATTAAAGTTCTGCAATGGTCAAAGACGAAACCATTAACTATATATGTTCTGGACGATAAGTCGCGGTAAGATCCTCTTGTTAAGTAATCCAAACGACAGATAGAGTATAGGAAAAGCGATGTAATGAATGAAAATTGCAAATCCGACAGAATTCACGTATGGGACTTGAGCGAGAGTGACGTTTGTCCTGTACATACATTCCCCATGCATAAGTGGGGAATGATAAGCAGCATGCAGTTGTCTCCTTGCACGATGGACCAAGATATGACGAATCAATACTTGGTGAGCTCAAATAGAATGAAAAATATGCTAGAAAGAATCCTTTTGAGAAAGAATCTGAATTTCAAAATACTTCTTAGGCTGTTGGAATGGAATCTGGTGACGTGGAGGTACATAAACTGAGGAAAGATTTCTACTATTCGAGGAAGGAAGAATTTTTACAGGAACTCAACGTCTTTTCGCGATATGTCTCAGTTTCCTGAACAGGAGGATCACTATATGAATTAACAATGAGAAGTGAATTATATAGTTAACCACACCAATAGTCTCGTAGAGTTGCATAGTAATTCAGTCATGAGAAGACACGAATTTTATACTTCCAATTTACACGTACACTTGCAATGCAAATAAGTTGGACGTTCAGATAAGTATCGTTTCAGTACAAGTTGCAAGCAACTCGTTGCATTTCATTGACGTTTGACAACGGGACAATCTCTTCTGACCGGTATTATAATTTGTAACATTTTTAAGAATTATGAGAAACAACAAGTATAACATTGATCGCGTCTCTGATAATACCGAACATGAAAGTACAATTTTCGGAGTCGTATAATCGATACACTCAACTCCGGTGTTGATTTTGTATACTGTACAAATGCGCGACACGTGCATCGATCGAGATTTTTGCACTTATTATTCGTGTGTACAGTCAGTGAGAGAAAGAAGAAAATTTACCTCAACGAACTTTAGAACGTATCCGATATTCAATAGGGAAATTATCTCTTGACAATGACCAAAAACAAATACTGAAAAATAAGTTCTATTAGATACAGATACGTGATGAAGCTCATTGAAACAGGAGCGTTGCAATATTCTTTCCACTGACTATAACTTTCTATCGTATTCCGTCCAAGAAGATAAACGCCGTCTATATAGATAGATAACATTTATAACACATTTATACGTACATTTATATAGTGTATTGTGTATTGTGTAAATTATATATCGTATATATATTTAAGGAAGAGTATAAATTGAACGATAGAGGATTGTATAGCTGAAATATACATACATTTTATACACAGGCTGGTCTCTACTTAACACGCGTTCTCTTCTTTATTATATTACATGGTACATACAATGATGCTTATATTCTTATAGAGAGCGTAATTATCGTCGTGCTAACAGTTCAAGAATCGACTTAAAGTAACGATAGCCATACATAGGGAAAGTATCCCCGAGAAGTGAGAGATTCGTACACTTACGCCGTTGCAAGCCTCCTGCCTCAGAAGATCCTCTATGATTTGATCGTAACTGCGCACACTCTGGATTTGATAACCGTGCAACTGCAAATTACGTGTCTCCTCCTGCGACAATAAAATTTACGCTCGTTATCATTCCTGCGACGATATAATTTACGTTCCTTGAGCGCTCACGATGCTATTATATCTCAGTGCCGTACGATCGAATTTAAAATAACATTTTACGATCGAAAATAAAATAACATTGTCGATTTTATTGAACAACGCGCATACGAACAGCATGTTTTTGCATTTCGAAATTTATAGGCGAAATAGCTACTTGATTTTCTTTTGGAGAGTAGCTACACGCATGCAGCAAATGCCGACTTTTCTCGTGAAGACGCGAAGACACCTATCACTAGCGTGATAATGTGCGACTATTGTTCCTGGATCAGGCAACTCTTGGAGAGGATCGATGCCGATGCGCAGGAAAGAGAGAGAAAGAAATCGTTACCGCGAGTAGACCTAGTTATCGTTGTTCACGGAAGCATCGGGAAAATCCCGCGATACGCGCAGAAATTTATGCTCAAGGAGGTTAAACTAATTCTTGTAAACGCGTTATTTTATATCATAATAATATTATTATGTTAATAATTGACGTTCATCAATGCAGGTGAAGGAAGCCGCGGTGAAAGCGACCTGATCAAAGGGCGCTCTTCGGTGGATGCGGTCGAGCGCGCGACTTGCCACATGGAGAGCAAGAAATACTTCAACTGCGCCTACGGAGGATTGTTGGATGCCAACAAAGAGGTCGTGATGGACGCCGCGATGATGACAGATGGTCTTCGCGCGGGTTGCGTGGGCGCAGTTCGGAACATAGAACACCCCATAACGTTGGGTTTGTCGCGTGCCTCGAGTCTTTCAATAGGTTTTCTGAATTGAATATTTATCTGGCCGATTGCCTCCAGCTTGAACCTCAAAGATGCACGACATTTCTAGCCAAAAAAGTGCTACAACAAACGGAACACGTACTGATAGTCGAGAACGGAGCGCAAAAGCTCGTCTTGGAGTCGGGTATTCCCACTTTACCGTCGGGTTGGCTGGTAGACACATCAAATTCTTGGACGTTGTTAGAGGAAGAAAATGACGGTAAAATTCAAACTAATGGGAATTAGGAACGAGATCGATTTTTAAGATATTGATTGTGATTGATGCCTAACGATAAGAAGCGAGATACGGAAAAGACACGAGACAAGGATGAACCGTGTACCATGAAAGAGTGTATACCGGGATGTATGTTCGAGAAATGAAAGCAAAACGCTAACTCGATGATTGTGTCCACCACGTCGAAGGCTCTGGAAACTGAGCCTGATTTTCTACAGGTTGATTAGTTTCACGCGCACACAGATTAAGTTATATTTAAAGTATAAATAATTTATATAATATAGATAATTTCACTAGCATAAATAAATTTTATCAGGTCGGCGCGGTTGGAGTCGTGGCGTGCGATCGAAAGAAACGACTCGCTAGCGGCACTTCGACGGCTGGGAAGCCGGGGAAGCTTCACGGTAGCGTGAGCACGACCGGCACAGTGATCGGTTGCGGGATTTGCGTCAATGACAATTGTTCCGTGTTTGTTTCGGGTTGCGACAAAGCTATCTACATTTACGCGCCAGCTCAGCGAAACGATTTCGGCGAAAGACAGCGCCAATCGACAACGCGGTCGCCACGGTGTTGAAGGATTTCGAGGAGCAAACCTGTGTATCCGACGTGGATGCGATTGCGATAATCACAAAAGGAACACCGATCGTGTCCTTCAGATGCGCGAATTTTCCATGGGCGTGCTGCGACAAAGGCTATGTGTACTACGAATGTGCGAGGAATGAGAAGTTCTCCGAGAAGATCGACGTCCTCGAGCGACCGTTGGACTGTATGTGCGGAGATCCCGATTAATCAGCATCATGTAACGCATTCTACACGCACGTAGACACGCAAGTAGACGTACTCAGCAGGTCAATTTCAGGCAATCTCGCCGACGATTGCGTGGGCATCAGTCATCAATTTTGTCATGATAACATCTTCTTCGCTTCTGTCCCGCGGAACACATGCAATTTTTCAAACGACAGTACTTTGCGTTCAACTTACGGGGAAGATAACGCTGCTGACGTTGTCGTAAGTCCCGTATAATGAGAACGCGGGCGTTAGCCCGTTCAGGGTTATGCCGAACAGATTGTCCATCTCGAGCAGCATCGAGTAAATTTCTTCGTGCCTCAGACTCGTGACATTCTCGTGCGCTATCACCTATGATGGAGAAAGCCCATGTTAACGTTTACAAGCTAACGAATTCACGTTTGCGTTAACTTAGTTGCATCATTAGGAAATTTGAAAAATATGTCTATTGAATTCTTTTCTCTTTAGATCGTTAGATCTAAATTCTGTTTTATTAGATTCAACATAAACTTGTGTTACTGAATTCCTTTTTCTTTTTTTAGATTAATGTCAACTGTGGCTGCGTTCCGAAATTCACTTCCAGTACTGAAAATCTATAGTTCATGTCACATATACTATAGAATTTCAGTACTGGCAGTGAATTTCAGAACGCAGCCTGTAATAAAATCGAATAAAAAATATGCGACTTTTATGATTCGATTCATCTTTGATGAATACGTATATATCGTAGATATCAGATGTACATATATACGTAGATATCAGATGTATACGTAATAATGGCCAAACGAAATGAACGTATAAATCAAAGTTAAATTCTCTCTCGACGCATATTCTTTAAGAAAATACAATTAAAAAAAAAAAAAAATCTTACCGCGCCAAGAGACGTCCAAGTGAGTAAGCATGGGTTTGTTTTCTCAATGTCCGGCTCGTCCAAGCACAATAATCTGTACCCCTTACTTCCAGTTGCGTCGTTTTGATCGAGATTACCTGCGACATTAGATATTAGATAAACGCTGTGGAAAAATACAGAGGAGGAGTAATAAGTCGTAATGATCGATTATCTACTTACCGGTCTTCTTCTCAATGGCCTTCAGATTGACGAAAGCGACGTCGGCGAGACCGGAAGTTAAACAGTCAAAGGCGCTTATATCATCGCCCGCCGCTTCCTCTGTGAAAAGATCGCAGCCTCGATATTCCCGTCATTCTTCTTCATTTACTCGGTTCATACGTACACAATCACGCCGTAATGTTAGCGTTCTAGTAACAGCACCGATTTTACTACACGCGATTTGCGCCGCATTTATATATTGCGTGTCGCACTGGTTTAACGAAATGTGCGAATTTAATGGACACGTGCAATGCCGGCATATATTGTACTCGCTCGTATCTTTATGATCATTCGCGTTTATGAACCGCGACTGTACCCGTACACGTCTGTTTCTCACCTCGTTTGCATAAGGAATACAAATTAGCCGGCAGCTTGCTCTTGTCTTGGTCGCTCAAACCAAAAACACAACTATCCTTGAAGAAGTTCGCAACAGCCTGTGTGTCCGGACAGCCCCATTTTCCAGCAGACGCGTTCTTCATCGTCGATGTGAACGCGTTCCAGCCTGACGAGAGACGAGATTGCAATTAGTTGATATTGAATAATAAGTGTTGAGTTGAATTTTATTTTTATAGTCGTACCAACACTCTTGTAGCCCGTGAAGCATGCCTTGGCACCTTCGAGGTCTCTTAGGGTCCTGAATTTCGAGTCGTGCTTCACCACCGCCGCGATTCTGTTCAATTCCTGCTTCTTGTTTGACAACGCGTATACGAGAGGCTTCAGACCTTTCCTGGAAGGAAGTTTCCTCTTATTTAGGCTGAGGAAAAAATCTAAACGCAGTTGTCTCTACGTATAAATGTACATGTACATAATAAGAGAAAGTTTAGATTGAATTTAAACATTCTTTATCCATCAGTTCAAAGCAACTCTTTACTTACTTCCTCGCCTGTAAAAGCTCCTCGGGCCTCGCGACGAAGATGTCCGCTCGCCGACTTCGCAGAGCATCCAAGCATGACGCTCTGCTCGTTTCCTGGATGCAGGAGATCGGCGGTTCCACGCCGTAAACGATGGAGGCTTCTCTCAGCCAACGACATTTGCGGTCCTCCAAATTGGACGCCACGCACCACTGCACTCGTCGCGAAGGTCGGCAGCTCGCACGGTTGTTGGCGCTCATGAAACCGGGGACTTTAGCCGAAGGAAATACGGTTATTAGAATGGTCGATTCGCACAGAGAGATTTCGCACGCGCGCATCGAATCATCAGAAGCGCGGTTTTAGATATTCCTAATAAAAACTTCATAAAACTTCTATCCATCTGACTTCACCGATCTTTCTCAAGTGCTATTTGACAAGTATGAGATTAATTAACAGTCGACAATTTAAAAATTTTTTGCGGATTTTTAAGTGTAAGACTGAACAAATTGCATGCGTCAACGTAATATTGTATATACATTAATTTACGTCGCGAATAAACGGCGAACTAAATCTAGATCTCCCGTATTGCATATACATTACATCGTCCTAAGTAATCCTCGGGCGTTTCCAGGTTTTCTGTACTGACCGGAGAAATGTGATAGCTCTCCATCAACTGCAACACATTCGTTTCCCAGCCGAACGTAGTATTCTTCAGGAGGTTCATCGTGCGGGCGACTTTCTCGGCGATCTGTCTGGTGAGGCAGACCGTTTTTAATCTCGTGTACTTTTCTCCGTCGTAAGGACGAAGTGTTGCGCTCACACGCGGAGAAACGAACTTACGAACTAGCCACGATGACCGGCCAAGGTCTCGATATCCAGACGCAAGGCTTGTCGTACTCGACCGGTCTGGTGCCGCCGTCCGGACACAGATAGTTGTAATTCCGCTTGTCGACCTCCTCCTCCTGCATCAAGTCATAGCGGACGTTAGTATGGTGAATCGCACTACAGTCCGTCGTTTCTTAGATTGACAGGTGAGATTGGTTCTCCCTGAGTTGTTACATCGTCGTTTTGGGGAGAGACCATCGGTTGAATCGACGACGATTACCTTGAAGTGCAAGAGAGTGTCATCCAGCCTGACCCAGGCGACGTCGCCGACGTCATCAGTAAGACACAGCAGAGCACCCTCACGTCCGCGGTACTTGTCGTCATTGTAACAACTGATTGGGTTATCGCACGCGGTGCATAGGTTCCTGTATCTTGATTCTGTAAGACAAAATTAAGAAATAAAACAATCAGTCAAATAAAAAAAATGTTAACAGACACATTTTGACGTAGAACACGGTCGTGAATAAACTCTAATAAATGCGCATGCAAAATACGTCACTCGCGTGTCACGTCCTTCGCGGATTGTACGCGTACTTAATTGCCCGTCGAATATCGTGTCCGATGACCATAGACCAGCGACGCAAGCCATCTCGAAGTAATTGGACAAAGCGTGCACTCTATTCTCGAGCAGCGTCTTGTCGGGATCGCATTCCTTCGGGATTATCCAGTTCTCGAAGTACTGAAACGATAAGTCATGCTCGGTACAACTTCAACGAGTACGAACGAGTTGTTAGAGAGATGTTCACCATCGAGAAGGCTTTAGTCCAGCCAAGTTCCTTGCTATCGAAGCCAGGATGACAGAATCGCTTGCCTTTCACGTCCCATATGTGTCCCACGTTTTTATGTACTAAAGCCACCATTTGAAAACTTTGCTTATCTAAAAGAAAACGTCATATCACACTTTGTAAAACCAAATGTATTAAGCTTGATCTACAATGTGCTCTTTGCTTCCAGTTTCTTTCTCTTTATCTCTTTCTAATTTAAACTTTGAGTAGTTCGAAAAAAATAAAGAATAAGAAAGCAAAAGTATATTGTAAATCAGGCTCTAATCTATCAAAGAAGGTAAAAAATTATGTATTATACATAATTAAATATATTGATATAATATATCGATATATCAAAGGGAGAGAATACACGGTCCTACTTGAAATGATGAATACAAAACGATAAAATTGCATTACATTTAGTCTAAATTTCAATATAAATTAATCTTATTGATTCACACATTTATTTAGATTAAAGTATAAACTAAATTGATGTAAAGTTATATCTCAATGAAGAGTCGTTGGAGGGTAAGTTCAGTAGAACTGGGATATTCCGTGTGTTCTGTTCAAATTTCAATTACCATTTAGGAAGAGTCTTAACTCATTCGTGACTAGAACATTGTATTCCCTGTAAGCTGCTGCCGCAACGAGGTCTTCTGGCTCCAATATAGCGAAATCGGCTTCGCCAGCGATCAATCGACGTAGACAACTGAATCTAAATCAGTTTGATCATAGTTTCGTATGAGAAATCGCTCTGCATGGGAGACTAGTCGATTTACGAGTCACATATATTTCATAAATTTCATAATTAAGTCGTTGTTCTGTCCGAAAAAGGGGGAGTCTTACCTGTCAATGTCTAGGACACACGCAATCGGACTGTTCAATGCGGCCAGTTTCGAGCAGAGTGAGCGAATTCTGATTGTAATGTGTGCGCTTTCGACAACGCATAGTCTCACTAAAACATCACGTATTTTTTCAGCGCTGTCACATCTTGAAATGGATGAGAAATTTTTTCCTCGTCATATCATCATTATTTCCGGACGTGTTTGCACGTTTATACTAACGCAATTATTTATACTTCGCATAATCGACTTGTCGGCGCTCGTGGAGAGAGATCAAATTTATTCTAACTTTTTTGCACTCCCTTCACGAGATTTGATTCTTCAACATTGCGTGTATCTCAAAACACATCGCCTTTCTTCGGTTCGTAATAGTACTTTCTCAGTATCGATTGTAACGTATTGCCGTTTAGAAAAAAAAGTTGCCTCGCCGTTATTTAATAGTATATCTATCTGATTATTATAAGAGTCGAACGGGGAAAAACACTTCAGTACGCGGTCGTTTCACGAGAAAGAGAACGCGGAAGCTGTCGAGCAGTCGGCCGCAACCTTCTGGTTGCCTTTTACGACGGTACGATGATTCGCACGTGTCACCATCAGCGAGTAATTTTACAGTTTAACAGAACGAACGAGCCACAAAGCGGGATTCTTCCTCCACGAAACTCCTCGATATCGTCGATCTCAAAGGATATTCTCGAAAAGCAATTTTGCCTCACAAAATATTCTCAAAGAACGCGCTAACGATACGAGTAGCCCGATAGTAATGTTGCGATTTGCATTTCACTTACGTTTCTCGGCGTTGGCGAGTCCGTAGCAGTTTATGAGAGCGACAGCCGTGAAAACTTGCCAGACAAATGTACGAAAATCCATGATCGACTTCGGCTCTGCCGCCATCCCTCTTGTAAATAAATAATCCTTTTGTCAAGTTTTACGGTGAAATTCTTTGATTAATGAATCTATACGCTCGTCTAACTTATTCAACGCGGTCGTTATTATCATATAAAGGCCAGGCACATGGTAAATATGCTTATCACACGATTACATTTCACCGAGCGGATGTACGTGCAATCGGAATCACTTGCACGCGGTATTTCGTATGCAATTATGATAATCGTTTAACGTACGTTCGCTTTAATGAGATCTTACGCACGAAGGATATCAGAAAACATTTTTCAGCATTATCCAACAACAGCTTCTTCAACGCTTAATATAGTAATCGGATTATCGTCCCGATTGTAATTATCTAGGATGACATAGATTTCTCGATAGTAATCGCTCACAGGACGAGTAAACATGACGATGCGATCTCCGCCGGTTGCACGCTTCTCTGCGCACCCAAATACAAACAGCGATTCGTACACTTCCTCGCCTATCCTTGAGACTTTTCGCTGATGCGTCGAACTGGCGACCGCACGAAACCGGCCGAACCGCCCCTGTGACATCATTTAACCAGCGCGAATCGCATTCAACCGTAACCCACCTAGACCGAATTTCCGCTTTGCGGATACAGACAAAGAGATCTTCCACTGATGAGCATTTAATTAATCTAAGCGTAAATCTATCTATCTCTAACGGTTCAAAATAAAAATAAGTGTTTCAATTGTCGTAGATGCTGCGAGAAGCATCGAAAATTTTCCAATTTCCATTTCCAAAATTCGACGAATGTTCGGTCTTGCCAAGCCGGACAGTTTTGTTCCCGTGACCTCGACTCGATCAAGAGACCCGCCGACTCAAGGAGCCGGTTTCGGCTTACCAGTTCTCTCTCATTACCTTCACGTTGAGATTCTCGCCATACATGCGGTAGGAAAGCAGCGCGTCGACTTCTGGCTCGTCTCGTTCGCCGCGCGAGTCTGGGAAGAAGGCGATTGATGTATCCAGAGAATACGTCACCAGATAACGACAATCAGACACGAGGCACCGAGCCAAACACGTGTGAGGAGACACTTACACTTAGTAACTTCAAATCCCGATTCAGTACACGAGGCGGGAGGCACGAGTGGCGGCTGATCGAAGAGCTCTCCTCTCTGCTCACTCGAACGACTCTTCCGACTGTCCGGCGACTTGGATCGCGGACAGCTGACTTGACGATGTGCGGCCGACGCTGATCCGACCGAAAGTCCAGTGTAGGGAGCTGGAATCATTAAATCTATCTGGTGGGAGAGATCGAGACGACGGAGCCACGAGAGAGGCTCTGCGTAATACACGCGCGCGCGTGTTATTATGTTACGAAAGTGAGACTCGTAAGAGCCCGTAACAGCCCGTAAGAGACCAAAAATAGAGCCGTTGGCTCTCGCTCCACTCCGGCGCACAGCGTTTTCGAGTAAAAATCGAGCACGCTAGTACAGCGGGTACGTATGCGTTTCCTTATTGCCGCTGTTGTTATTGAACCAGAGGAATGTGAGAGAAATTGGACTTTAGTCCAAACGAGATGTCCCATATGGTGAATGAGCTCATTCTCCGGATGTTACACTTGGTTTATTTCAAATCATATTACAGAACAATAGAATGAAGGTTACTCACTTGTTATAAAAGTTCAGATGCTATAAAAGATTAATTAATTTTCCATTGGGTATCCAGATTTAAATGATCACTCGTATACAAGTAGATTAGGAGTGATATTGAGCATAAAGTCCTTTAACATCTTGCAAACTATATGAAATTTTAAGTTATTAATTTAAAAAGATTGGCGACTAATCGCGTGCTCTGTAGATAAACTGTGATAGCGACGCCTGCTGGATGAGGTCACGTGCCTGTGGATAAGGTCAAACTAAATAAAAAATTGTCTATCACACGTGTAAATAACACGTATATTTTTGAGATATCAATTAATGAAGATTGGTAAACGATTGCACGCGATTCGTCAACTTTCTTTAATTATTAACCCACAAATCTACGTGTTATAATTGCCAAACAGTAGAGAACTTTTGTATTCAATTTGTGATTTGATTTGTAAACAATCTGATTCCACCTCTAAAGGAGCGGTTGAACACTTAAATTCAGTTATCCTGTATAGTGTAATGAATTATACTAGAAAATTTCACCAGCTGCGAGAAGAAAACTTTGGCAATATCTTGTTATTCAATTTTCTGTTTATCAGAGATTCTTAAGAGGAAAATGGAATCTGGATATCTTTACTTATTATACAGTCGCTTTATATTTTCAGACTTAATAAATAAATTTTATTTTCTCTGTTGTATGTTTTTATTTTATTTATACGAAAAAAGGCATATAATTAATTATACTGACTCATTTATGAAAAAGTGGTTTCACGTCCTTCCCGCCACTATCGATTCACCTGTAGCTAATAAAAATGTTAACGGTTGTCTCTTTATCTCTTTAACAACGTTCGCGTGTTTTTCGTATTCGGCGAACGCGATATGTTTCGGTCTTTAGTCCAACTGTAATTCGCATGAATGCGTTCATTGTGCACATGATTCATTGATGGTTATTAGCAAAGTTGTAATGCGAATTATATTCATAAGACGCTTCCATTTTTTTACGACGCACGACTTGATGCAGAATCATTGTGCGATTTAAATTAGTCATGAACGAGTTATCGAATCGATGGGCGTGCGTCTATGATAAGGGTTGAATATAATAGATAAATTGTAACGAGCATATATTCATGGATGAGTCATAATTAACTGTGCGCAGCGAGATAAAACTTCATTGTTCTCAATATAAGCGATTGCACGCGTAGACTCTACGGTCGCAGAATGAAATATTGCAGCGTGAGTTAAATCTTGAAAGAATTATGATTTATGAATACAATACTCACGTATTTGATCGTCTCAGTCTTTTTATCGCTCGCACGGTAATGTGTCCCAGATAGCACAGAAAATTCAAAAAGAATTCAAAAAGAATTCAGTCGTATGTCACCAATTCTGAGTTCATTTTCAGATGTAAAAAGAATTCTTCAGAGTTCAGTTCAGTGAAAAGAATTCTTTTTGTATCTAAAAATAAATAAGAATTGGTGACATACGACTGAATTGTTTTAGAATTCTCTGTGCTATCTGGTGTGTTATGTTGATAACGTCCCACACAACAGAAATGTCCCGAATATATCATAGAGATATCCTACAGATATTGAGATATCTTTATAATATCTTTGTAATGTATTCGGGGAATTTCTGCTGTGTGGGATGTTACGTTGATAATGTGTTATGTTGATAGTGAAGAAATAATTAGTGAAGAGACATAGAAAAAATTCCAGTGAGAATTTTCAGTTAAAATTCAACCACATACACGATCTTTTCCAATACGATTACATCTTCACCAATAAAAACAGGTAAAATTTTGCAGTATGATTCATGTTAGGTAATGCCTCGTCTGCAAGTCCGAATATACTTTGGCTTCCATTTGAAAACCTGAAACAAAGTTCTTTGCTTTTAATTTCGATTAATATTTTCGATTAATAGTTTCAATGTTACAAACGCGCAAAAATTACGCAAAAAGCTGTCATCTATTACTAACATTAAAAATGCAGTAGTTAAGCCCCTCTTTCAGGTAACAACGATACGAATCGAAGCTCCAGTAACGTATTCATCAGAAGGAATCGTAGCTGTGTCGCGTAGGAGAACGGGAACGATTAATCTCAAGGTTCGTAACGCATCGATATAGGTCGGTAACGCATTATTCGTTAAATAAGATCATCGTGTAATTTAATGCGTCGACCTGGTAATACTCAGTAATACCTGGAAAACTAATTTGATTTCTCTCTTAAATATCGCGTACAAATCGAGTGCAATTAAACACCACTAATCTGCATATATGTCTATTATAATTATCACTATACGATAATTAATTTCATAGAAAAGATTATTTCGAAACTGCGCGAGAAAATTTCATTACAAAAATTTAATACGCAATATAAAAGTCTCTTCAAATAATAAATAAAATCTTTAAATTAAATAATAGAAACAAATCATAAAAAAATATTTGATACAACGCGACTATCTCATTTCTATTTGAAAATGCCCTTGTGTATATGCGCTCTATCGACAGTCGCCAATGCGATAATCTACGGCTTCTGTTCGTCGATAACAAGGCAACGGATCGTCGGACTCAACGTTACCAAACGTAGTAAATTATAACGTCATATATGACTTTTGAACGATATCGTGAGAGATTGTCTCGTAGAAAAGTTGCCAATCTACATCCTCTTACGTCGTCATTGAGTCTTTATCTGATAGCGATGATGTTGCAATCATTATCAGGCCGGAGTGTTCCAATCCATCAAATGTTCTTTGAAGCACAACGCTTTGCTGCATAATTTCGTAAAAATCATCTTCTTTAGTGAACATGTAGAGGTGAGTCATCATTTATCTTAACTTTCTTATTTTCAATGTATATTTATACATATTTTTACATTATGTGTATATTTATATATTTATATATGTTTACATATTTAATTCAACATATATTTATAGGAAAAAAAAATTTGTTAAAGTACCTAAAATTATATTTACTTTTAAAAGTTCGCTGAACAGTTTCTTTTATCTTTTCTTACATGTATGGTACATCTTGTGACAAAGATATAGATAATGATAATCTTATTTTTTTCTTTTTATTAGATTATTGGTTTCTTGTGTGTCCTGTTTCTATAGAATCAATATATTCAGCATGATAATATATGTATCTATAAACAACACATACATTAAAATTATAATGCATTTATCATGACAAAGACAAATCATATGTATAAACTGGATGACATGGTATCTATCTGTATTCGACAACAGTTCCATCTACTTTTTTACAGAGCTGTAACAAGCTAGTTAGTGCCTCTGTCCATCTATCTTTAACTTCTCCAATCATATACTAACTATAATATACACATTTGTTTTCTTCCTTAGCAACATACGATATTAAAAACATTGACTTTAATTTATTATGCACATTATTTTCAATAATGTTCTTAACAGACATCAACTAATAGGCATTAACTTAATATTACATTAACATTATAATTTCCCATTCAAGAATGTAAGTGTAATATCCCAGAGAGCACAATCTAATAAAAGATGTCTTAAAAACATCCAAAAGATATCTTTATTCCTTTTGGATGTCTTTTGGACATCTTTAAGATATCTTTTAGCAGTTTGTGCTATCTGGGATAATATATATTGTACGTAACAATTCATTGTCATTCAACAATTCATTATTGAATAGGAAATCATAACATTAATGCCTTAAATATTATTGTTCGTTAATGTTTATTGTGATTGTTATAGTAATCTACACCTAGAATGAAGTATATTTGAGTCAGAAGAGAATCATCAGACATATACTTGTTTTTAATTGTATTGTTACACTGTTTGTACTTAAAATATTTAAGTCATAATAGAAATATATTTGAGTTATAATAGAGTCACCAGATATATCAGTTGTTTTTTATCGCATTGTTACATCGTTTGCATATAGAATAAGGTTATATTGAGTCTCAAGTCATCAGATATATCTGAGCCAGAAGAGAAAAAAATGTGACAGGAGAAAGTATTAGATTAAATAAAGGTGAGAAAAAGAGGTACCTATTATGCTCAACATCGAGCTCTTGCTACGGCTCTGAACTTATCCCTCCTCTGGGATAATTCTTCCTGTCCCTTATCCCCTGTCCCTGGCCCCAACTTATCGTCGACCAGCCATGTACGCCGCGTTCGAATATTTTCCTGAGTTCACAGTCGAACTATTGGCTGCATTGAACAGACGCCAGTGTTTAGTAAGCACCTAACGACTGTCGCTTGCGATTATTATAGCTTTAGAGCCTTGAGTATTAGATCCAAACCAATATGCCAATCAGAGGTAATAATCTCCCAGCGCTGATCTCTGCTGCACGCGTCTATCGAGAGTGTGAACGCTTGAAAAGACTCGTCAAGAGTTAACTCGACGTTGGAAGCGCGGGAGTGTTGGGAATTTGTTTCGTTCTGCTGAACGAGTAATTAACATTCGCGCGGAGACATTTGTGCGACATATGTACGCGACGAATGAGTGGGAGTTTGTGTAAACAAGCGGAAAAGCTGTCGCGAAGGCTGGACTCCGAGAAACACGCGTTGACGCGACAATATGTAGATGAATCACGCGTTTCGTGGCGCCATATTGGAATTATTTGAAATTTGTACGAATGATATGTCGAAGTTCGATATATCGTGGACAAATGAAGGACGTATGAAAGATTGCATTCAACAGAACGAAGTTAGCGGTTCTGACTGAATCCACGAGCGGCCAATCAGATCCTCGAGTCTCATTAATCGATTATCGAGCGCTTCATTTGTTCGACAATTCGTTTGTGTATATCCCAGCAAAGTGACGTCTAAAGACATCATTTAGACGTCATTAAGACGTCATAGACATCATAGACGTCTTAATGACATCTTGATGATGTCTTTAGACGTCACCTTGCTACCTGGGATATTGTGTTCTTTTGCCTATAAATATATAAATATCGTTTTTCTGTTGTCAGATTTGCAGCATGACGCCAATTTAGCACGTTCTCACGAGAAAACACAAAGTGTCGGATCGAGAGAAGATTTTTGAAACACTCCAACTTTTATTTCCATTCAGACATAAATAATGAAAATTAATTACAAGCAGCTGCCTGTCAAGGCGCATTATTTTTTCTTTATGGCGGGTACGTACATAAGAAATCACCCAGACAGCGCAAGATCTCTAGAGGATGTTCTGAGGATGTTTTCAGGATGTAGGATCTCAGAATGTTTTTAAGATGTTCTGTAGAGATTTGTGCAATTTTTGGGCACTTTCTAAAAAATTTGTTTAATTTTTTAAATTTTTACAAGAATTACATTTTGCATACATACACGTGTAAAATTGTGTATAAGTGTATTTTAAAAGAATTTCTTTCAATATACATCGTGAATTCTTTAATACGTTTAATATGATAACTTTTTGCTCATTTATTTCAGCTATGGGTCCGATTTTACCGTTTCTACCAGTTTATGGGAAACAATTGGGCATTTCTCCATTAGTTATGGGCAGCATTACAGCAGGTCTACCTATCCTCTTCCTAATCGCCAAACCAGCGTTCGGCTTCGTCGTGGATTATTTCCGCACTTGGAGAAAATTGATCTTTATAATATTACTTGCTGTGACAAGTAGTTGTTATGTTTTAATGTACTTCTTACCTGTATTACCAGGCCCTCTGCTGCCAGATCATCACTTTCAAAATGTTTCTTGGACATCTTTGTCGCCCTGCGATATGGACCATGTAAGCTTTAAGATCTTACAATTGTCTCGCTATAATATAACACATCTTGTCATTTATGCAACGAAATACATTACAATGACAAACAGTGAAACGTTTGAGCAACTTTGCAGTGGCTTCTACATTTCCAAGATATATGCAATACAGTATATAAAGTTTGAAATACTGAATTGTCTAACTGCAACGTTTGATTATAATGTTTTTGAGAGGCAGGACACGTTTAACTATATTTTTTAAATATTATTTATTGTTTATTTAAGCATACCTCAGCATTGAGATTGTGTAATGGTACAAAAGACACTACATGCCATTGGGTATGCAAGGATACAAATTTTTCTATGCGAGTATCTTTTCATACAGCTAAAGAGGAAGCAAGCATTTCACCGAGTACAGCGTGCTTATTAAATATGAACGAAACATCATTGTATTCGGAAAGTAGCAATTGCGATGTTACTTGTGACAATTTCGACGACGATCATTGTCTGTATACATCCATTACTTTCTGGGGCTTTATTCTCTTAATGTGTTTGGGGAACATTGGCTTTAATGTTTCCAACAGTATAAGTGACGCAATTTGCTTCGACGTGCTAGGTAAGCAATTTTTAAAATACATATTATAAAGGTATCGCAAATCAACGTACAAAAAGATTGCGTCCAGACAGCACACAATATTTACAAAATATTTTTAAAATATAGATATTAAATATTTTATAAATATTTACATGTCCGAAAATTTCAGGTATAAAAAAGACTATAATAAATATTTTAAAATACTTATGAAAAACATTTTTCATAAATATTGTTATGAAAAAGATTATGATTTATGAAAGATTTATAATAAATATTTTTTATAAATATTTGTAAATATTCATCATAATCTTTTTCATACGAAAATCTTTTTTTTACGAAAACATTAGAATATTTAAAAAATATTTAATATCTATATTTCTAAAATATTTTGTAAATATTGTATGCTGTTTGGGTATTTTACCAAATTTGTAGTATAGAGAGAGCATCAAGTTTGCTCAAGTAATTATAATTAAATAATTGTAAAACTTTATGCATTATCGTGTAGATCATTGGACAGCACCTCATCACATCACTTACAGTCACTGTTATCTCTAGGCGAAGGCGGAGAAATGGGATATGGTAGGCAACGAGTATGGGGTACAATCGGTTTCGGTATTGCGGCATTCCTAGCCGGCTATACCATAGACCTGTGGTCGCATGGAAATATCTACAAAATTTACACACCAGCATTTCTTCTGGTGTTCGCGTTTACCTGCGTTGATTTGATTTGCTGCAAAAAACTGGAGGTGAGCTCTGCATTAAGAAAAGAACTAAGATGCGCAAAACGACATGAGATTTTACTCTTACGTTTTCACTTCCCGTTATGTATTCTGTTTACAGCTGCCACTTATTTCAGGGTCAAGCAGCATATTAAAAGATGTATTCATGCTTTTGAAATTAAAACCCATCGCTATATTCCTATGTTTCGCTTCCCTCGCCGGCATCCTTGACAGTTTTATGATTTACTTCTTATTCTGGTAAATTTTTCGTTTTATCCTTATTAACATAATGTACTTACTAATAGACATTTTTTACTATTACACAATTATTTAATAGAAATCAGAGTAGACATAGTCGCGCGGTAAGATATTCATTATATTCAATATAATCTGTTTCTATAGGTACCTGGAAGATCTCGCTATGGCAACTGGTTATATGAGTGAAATTAAATTAATTGAAGGTCTAACGACAGCTGCAGAGACTCTTGGCGGCGAGATAATATTCTTTTCTTTATCTGGTAATATTTATTTAATATCTACGCGCTTTTTCACGTTACGCATATAGAGTTTGTTGTACAGATGACAATCGCTTATGGAAATATCTTGCTCATAAATGGCCTACGAATATATTCGTTTACTTCTTTTCAGGCAAGATATTGAAGAAATTTGGATATGGTTACACTTTCACTTTTTGTTTCGTGTGTTATGCATTGCGATTGGGATTAATATCTCTAGCGCCAACGCCATGGTGGGTGCTTCCAGTGGAACTGGTCATGCAGGGACCAACATACGCGCTCTGCTATACAACAATAGTAGCATACGCGAGTGCAGTCGCACCACCTGGAACGTCAGCTACCGTTCAAGGAATTGTGGCAGGAATGGATGATGGATTTGGTAAGCTTCTTTCTATATAGTACAGGAAACTTGCAGGAACGGCGCAAAAATAATACATTGCAAAACTGCAAGTACTTCGCATAAAATTATAATAATATAGTGGAAAGATTTGCTTGATATATATGCGATTACATATCGAGAATTATGAATGATAACGAAAATAATTTGTATAAATAATGTGAAATACGAACAACATTTTTTCGCAATTAGTGAGAATAGCTTTACATTATATAATGCAATTATTGTAATATTCTCAGGGTATGCAGTTGGCAGTTTAATAGGAGGTATTTTGTACAAGAAAGTTGGTGGTGCTACGACGCTGAGGATATTCTCAATGCTCGCAGCAATCTCTGCCTTAATGTACTTTGTTCTTCATACTTTGTACTTAAAACATAAGACGCCAGGTGAGAAATCGAATATCCTCAAACGCATGACAGAGATGTTCTGTCGAATATTATGAAAGAGAAACTCTAAAACTTCTGTTTTGTTGCAGATACACGCAGCAATGTTGTATTTAGAAAGCCCGAAGATGCACAAGAACATTGTGTCATTGCAGAAACATGATTTTATATATTTTAAGATAAGGATGTGACGCAAAACGCATTGTAATTATTAGAATAATAAAAATATTCTTTATGTCTATATAGTTAGATAGTCAAGCCTGCGCAAACAAATTTTGAGCAAAGCCTCCCAGATAGCAAAGTGACGTCTAAAGACGTCATTAAGACATTATTAAGACGTTAATGACGTTTTAAGACGTCTTTAGACGTCACCTTGCTACCTGGGCTGCTACAAATTTTTGATAGCAGAAAAGCAGCAAATTCAACACAGGATTTGTTATATCTCATTATGTGGCTGCTAGAAATGTGACAGAGTTTGCTGACAATCAGAGTAGAGAGAGAGATTGGTACCAGAAACCAAGCAGAGTTTATAAAGATCTGACGGCAGATTGGCGGCGGAAACCGAGCAGACCTTGCTGCGCGACAATATCTACTCGCATTGTCTGTCAGCAGATTCTGATGACACGAATTGAATGCGGATACAGATTGTTATGTTTGGGATTTTGATCAAATTTGCTGCCAATTTGCGCGCACTCTGCTATCAACTTACTTATAGATAAACGCTACTTAAATGTGCGCAATCTGCGTATTTTTATACATGAATTTAAATTTAAATTATTACTTAAATTATCTTGATATTGCATTACTTAAGCATATTAATTAATATTTAAGTAATACAATATTAAAAAGATAACATGCATTTTCTTTATTTGAAATTTAAAATAATGTGAATTCAAGAGATAAAAAAACTGGTCTAGCAATGAATTGTGTAGATTATATGAATTTCGAGCAAGTTGGTAGAAATTGTGCAAAAATTATATATATAATATATGTGTGTGTGTGTGTATATATATGTATATATAGCCTATGTGTGCTACATAGTGTATATATAGTAGTCAACATGTGATGCATGCCTCTGTCGCGCATGTCACATAACAGGATAAAGATGACAGACCATACGACAAATATTATTACGTTGCCATCGGAACTGTTGATAGTAATCTTCGAATATTGTAGTGCATTCGATTTAATAAGGCTCACCCAAGTATGCAAACGATTTCACATGATAATAGAGAGAAATTTACTCTGGTCCAAAAAGAGCTATTTACCGCTCGCTACGAATCAAAGATCAAAAAGGTTTCTTGAAAGGTCTGTGTTTAACCTCTATTTGAATGATAAAGTTAAAATCGTTACGAAACAGATCTTTGTATGTACCAAGCATCATCTTTATAATTTCTACAAAGTGGCACACAAAAAAGTAACCTATCTTGTATATTTCAGTGTTAATAAAAACTGCGTTAGTAAGATAAACATAAATTTTATTAAAAAGCACATTTTTTTAGTATATATATATAATAAGATGATGAGATTTCAAAATATTTGTTATTAACAGAACTTTCCATCAATATTAAGGACAAGCTACTTTTTTGTAACTGTATTTAATTTGTCAGCAGGTCTATGAGATACACTTCAGCGATCACAATCTGAAAGCATTCAGTAGTCCTTGCAAATATATTTGTATGTAAAGTTGTACCAAAGAATATTTGTTATTTTACTCTTCAGATGCAATCAAATATTGTGTGACCGTTCCAAGTGGCGTGTATCCTATAATTGGCAATATGGGAGATATATCAAGAAGCTGTTGTTTCCACAACGTAGGAAAGTAATACCAAAAATATGTATGAAATCACATGAACTCTGGTGGTGTGGTAACAATCTACTTTGTGGTTTCAAACGTACAAAACCTTTTGACACTGTAAATAATGTAATTTATAAAACTGTCAATAACATACATGACTTCAGCACATTTGTTTTGATGAAAGATTTTATTATAACTGGTGATAGGTAGATATTTATTCACAAGTATTATTTGAATTATACTTATGTTCTTTCTATAATAAAACCCTTCATGGAAATATTTTGCAGTAACGGTGATCTAAAATATTGGTTATACGATGGAGGAGGTCAATTAGTCCATACTACACATGCACATAGTGATGACATTAATGCCATGGATGCAACATCAGAAGTTATTCTTGCAAGTTCACTGAGTAAAATAGTAAAGGTGAGCATCAGAGAATTTACATACAATATAACGATGATGCAGGATATAAAGTATGTCAACTGTTTAGGTGTTTCCTGCGCCTGTGAAAGATGATAGGTTAAAATTTTACGAATACAGTCTTTCTTCTTTATCTATAATAGATAGAATTTGGTCGATCAAGGCTGATATCGAAGGCAAAAAATTTGCCATTGGCACATCTGGGAATGAGACCTTGCCTCTTCAAATATACGATATAGAAGAGTATGTATAATTATTGAGAATTGTGAGATATATGTGTACAATAGAGTTGTAAAAATTTCAAGTAACTTTTCCTCAATTTAAAAATTGACTTAAATAAATATGTTTCAATTTAACTAATTGATGATTCATTTGTTGAAATTAATCATCAATTAAATAGTCTTCAATTGAATTGGTTCATATTAATGTCAAATTGTGGAATACAATTAAAAAATAATTAATCATTTGTAAATCTGGTATACGGTATATGTGTACGCTCAGATATAGTTCGATGTATATGAGCAATTTGCAATTGTATTAATCGAAAGATTTCTAGATGCACGTGTTTAATGCTACTAAGTCACAATTGGCGGCCCGGCGCGGGAATACTGGACATGGTGTGGGAAGATCCACACACTATACTTAGTTGTGGCTACGACACGTATATTCGAAAATGGGACTTGAGGTAATACTCCACACGATTATTCCGTTTAGTTATGTTCACAAATACATCTTCAACGGTTAACAATTGCTTCTAGATGCGGGAGATGCGTGAAATCATGGGCGGATCCAACTGATGCAACATTATATTGCATCTCGTCTGATCATAATTATACCATGATTTCGGGAACACAGTTCAATTGTATGGCTGTTCTATGGGATCAAAGGCAACGTGAATATATGCAAGTTTGTATTAATTTCAAATTAAGATTATACTTATTTGATACCTGAGAGATTGTTTAATTCAAATTTTCAATACTTCTAGCTTTATTTTATGAAGTGTCCAGGCAATCATGACAAATCACCGATCTATTCTCTAGATTTCGATAGTACTAATCTGTATTGTGCTACAGACCGATACCTAGTCGAACTGGATTTTTATGGAAAGACAAAACGATCGTTTAATTATAACGGTTTAATAAAGTAATAAGAAAGGTAATGGGCTAAATGAGAATGACATTTTACAAATTATATTACACATATTTTTCTCATGAGAAGAAAATATTTATGAACAAGTAAATGAAAATGGAGAAAAGATCATACCAATGTGTATTTTTTTGAGGCACTGTATAAAAGCGAGATATTTTTTATACAGTCCTATTATGTATTATGAGACATGCTTTGTAATTATTATTATATTTTAAATATATTATGAATTCAATTTTGTATACTGTACAACTTTGCAATAGTTTATATTTATTTATACGCAATACATAAAAGCGAAGATAATATTTCTCATGCATATATGTATATAGTAAGCATAACGATTACAAAATATTAAAAAAAAAAATCGATCACAATTGACGCGGCAAAGATGAGCCTGTATTGAATAAAAAATAGGCTCTGCGTCAGCATTCAACTGCGTAACAAAAATAAACGTCTTATATATATTATGTATATATATATATATAAAATAATCACAATATAATAAAAATTTAGGACGTCACAAAAAACGTATTTGCTATATAGTACTGTACCAACGCGCTGTACAGATATTGCAATCGCTACGTAGGTGACTTTATACGAAAGAAACAGAAAAACCAAGCATTAAAAAATATTATTCGTTATAATGCGCGCTTGTAAAATATATCCCTCAACCATATTCCTTCCACGCTAAGATTTCTTGAATTTCAATTTTGTCTAAAAGGAGACATTATGTTTTATGTATATATCCCAAAACCGATATTACATATAAGTATCTCGTTAAGTAACAATCTCAAAAAGAATCGTTTATATTCTCTTGAGATAAGAATCTCATCAAAGCATCGTTCTAATCATATAATTTAGAATGCCGCCGTGTTTGAAATAGGTCAAGTCGACTTCTGTGTCGAATCGCACGTTCACTTCAAACTTCTTGCCGTCGTCGGTAGTCACAGTGGCTCTCTCTCCGGGTTGACAATTCTCGGGAACCCAGATGTTGTACTCCTCGTATCCTGTCAGTCCCAAGGACTCGGCGTTCTCTCCGGGTAAGTATTCCAGTGGTATAATGCCCATACCAACGAGATTAGACCTATGAATCAATTGTATCGTCGTTGTGACATAGTAAATAAGTTACACAATGTCGTGATCTTGCAGTGAGATATTCTTACAATGCTTCTCCGTACTTTGTGTTATACGCATAATATACTTTTATGAAATAATTCAGGTAACTTGCCTATGTATTCTTTCGTACGATTCAGCTATAACTGCACGAATGCCAAGCAGGTACGGTCCCTTAGCGGCCCAGTCTCTGGACGACCCCGATCCGTATTCCTTGCCGACTAGTGCGATTAAAGATGTTCCATCTTTCCTGTATCTCTCAGCGGCGTCAAATATGTCCATCTAGATACCAATCAGTCAATCGTTAATTTCGTTGTAATTGTGCCTTTTAAAAGTTATTCAGACGTGGATATTGTGTTTTAAGTAATTTTGATGTAAATGTAGTGCACCGAGCAAATAAAATTATGCCGCTGTTACGCATATGTGACATCCACGAAAAATGAAACTGAATTAAATTAAATTGTCGAAACTAAGAGCAATATATATATATATATATATATATATATATATATATATATATATTCATACATACCTCCTCCTTGGTTGGAATGTAGATCGTTCGTGGTCCCTGTTTACCGAGAAATTTGTTCAGCAGACGAATATTCGCGAAGGTGCCGCGCATCATCACGGCGTCGTTTCCTCTGCGCGAGCCATACGAATTAAATTCCTTTGGTGTCAAGCTGAAAATAAAAATTATTAGAAAATTGCAAAACACTCTCTTTTCTTGCTCTCCCTTCTTCCGTTACATATCAACAAACTTACCCGCGACTCGTAAGGTATCTCGCCGCCGGCGAATTACGCGCGATACTACCTGCTGGACTAATGTGATCGGTCGTAACGGAATCACCGAGATTCACGAGCGCCCGCGCTTTCGTGATCGATTTTATCGGTGGTAGCTTCTACAATAAAAGAACAAAGTAAATGCGATGAAAGCTCTTCGATGTGAGAACGGATAAACCGTGTGATTTTAATGACTGAATAACCTTTTGCAAGTCATCGAAATAAGGCGGATTTTTTATGTACGTGGAATTAGTGTCCCACGGATATAGCTTGCCGTCAGGTGCTACCAGACTCGCCCAGCTGTTGCTACCTTTCTCGATTTTGTCATAAACTTCTTTGAACATAGCTGGAATGACGTACTTCTGTTCCACGGTTTGAATCTCCGCCCTGGTTGGCCATATATCTTGCAGATATACTGGGGTACCATCAGATCTGCAACCTAAAAATTAAGAGATTGTGTAATTTCTCTTCCTTTTTTCTTCTTTTCCATCTTACCTAAGGAATCCTTTTCGAAGTCTATATCTACAGTGCCAGCAATAGCATAGGCTATTACCAATAGCGGAGACGCTAAGTAATTTGCCCTGGTATTCGGGTGAATTCTACCTTCAAAGTTCCTGTTACCTGACAGAACTCCGCAGCAGACGAGCTCATTCTGCAAACGAAATACAATTTGACGATGTATAAATGATTGTTAAGTATAATGTACAATACGTATTGTAAGACGTTACTACATAAACATGTAATGCTAATAAAACACGACAACAAAACACAAATAATATGTAACTCGACAAAATAGCGCTCAATTCTCGTGAAGTTAGGTAACGTTGAATTTTAAATTTTAATGTTTGAATGCCCCATGAATTATTATTTCTTCAACTCCGTAAAAAAAGCAAAAGTACCCATTAGATAAAACTCGAGGATCAGTAAATTTTACCTTTTCAATGGCTTGAATTATGACGTCAGGAAGAGGACCGCTATTTCCAATACAGGTCATACACCCGTAACCCACTACGTCGAATCCCAACTTTGTCAGATACGGGACTACTCCGCTTTCTTGAAGGTAATAAGTTACGACTCCAGAGCCGGGCGATAATGATGTCTTTATGTATGGTGCGACAGTCAAGCCAGCTTCGACTGCCTTTTTAGCGAGGATACCTGAAACAAAGAGATACAATTTGAGCATTTGTTTCTGCAAATCAGTCGTCAATGTTGGAACTGAGAACGTTCTGATGAACGTGATGAACCCTTCAAGTTGACTTAATAAATCATAGAATATATATAAAGTTTTATAATAATTTTTTGATAATATTTTTGTAATACCTGCTCCAAGCATAACGCTCGGATTGCTGGTGTTCGTGCAACTGGTGATTGCCGCGATGACCACCGAGCCATGCCTCAGTTTGTAATCCTTTCCCTCATACTCAAACGCACCTGCGGAATTAATTTTTGCTTCGCTTAAACCGTAGCCCTTGAAGCCTACCTGCAACAGAAAATTGTCGTTTCATAACATATTTCCTCTTCTATGAAATTATTTGAATATTGTATCATCAAATAAAAGGTTCTACCAAAAAATATTTTCCTAGCTTATGTAAAGATACTTAGTTTCTTATCACAATGTAAATCCTATTGTAGCAAAGATAAACGTCCTAAATAAATAGTGATTCTGTATGCACACGAAAAGATTGATAGTTTTATAAGAAAAAATATAAGAAGAAAAGAGAAATCGAACGTCTGTCTGAATTTAATGTGCATTGTACAATTCAACTATACCAATAAAAATACACGTGTAATATTTTGAATATTTATTATAATTAATTATATTTATATATATATGTCCGTGTTAAGCCACACACGGACAAGCAATTAAAATCGTAAGTCGTTTAATAGAGTTTGATATTACGATTCTAGGCTTTTGTAAACATTCCTTGATGTATTCCTAAAATAAAATGAGTATAAAACAATGTTTTCTTAATAAAGATTACAATAGAAATAGTAGATAAGGATAAGCAAAGGATGCCTGTCTTTTTCTTGCACAATACAGCCGTTATCGTCTTACGCCCTTCATGGTTATTTGGATATTTCAATATTGACAGTTCAATTGTAAATTTGACGAGTTCAACGGACAAGCATCTGACCGACGCCGCAGTATATGACGGATTCATTGTCCGACAAACGATTTGCTGAAAAAGCAGCGCGGAAACGCGACAATCTTTAAGCAATCGCGAGGTCTATGACCTCGTGAACATCTCACGTGCGCACGATTAGGCAACGATCTTTCATGACATACGCATTTTCATACAGACGAGCATTCTACTTGTTCCATTCACGATACAATATAACAAATTCTATCAAACACTTACTCGCATCTTTATCGCCGCAGTTATTTATTGTCATATTTCTTTTGTAAAAATATCTAAAATTATACTATAGTCGTTCTTCAATGCCTATCAACATCGTGGTGACTACATGTGTAAGATTCTAACATAGCGAAACAATTAGCACGATCAGTCGTCAGTAGCTAACATAAACTTGAGTCTGATAAGAAATCTGATCAGAATTGGCTGTGAGATTTAAAGATAAGTTTTCACCGGTCATTTCCTTTAAAAATGTGCAGTTATCACCAGAAATTTATCAAAACTCAAGGATATTTTTTTATTTTTTCAAATCATGGAACGGCTAATGAATTTATCGCAGCGATTAGCTGAGAGAAATGACTCAAATTTGACTGATTATCTAATCTTCACTTAAGTGAATTGACCATTAATATTTATTCGATTGATAAGAGACAGAATGAGACAGAAGGAGCGTCCCAAGAAGCTAAATATAGAGAAGAAGAATATAAGAGAATATGATATTAAGAAAAAAATATAAGAGATTGTGAAATGTGATTATTAAGAAACATTTTGGTTGATAACATCCATGAAGGATTATATTAATATATGTCAAAAATGAAAGATTTTTTTCTACTTTTTGAAAACAATTCTCTACATTGTTTTTCGCGAATTATCTTCTTTTGCGTCCGTGTGATCTTGCGCGTTGTTTCTGTATGATGGTTAATTAATTGGAAATTCGAGTCCGCTCTGTGCATACCTGTACGTGCAAGTCAAACGGTGGTTCGTTCGCGACGAAATGTCTGAGCTTTGCAAAACGAATGTAATAGGATGTCATATCAGCAATTTCAGCGCGAGCTGAATACGTCTTCCAGAACTTATGCGAAGTGCGAGCAAAGACTCTTGTGCTCTCTAACGAGGCGGAAAGGCCGATCGATCGACGGTACGTGCGAATTCTTCTTTTCCTTATAAATTCGTTAATTACTGATGTCTTGTGTTTCGAGAAGTCGGAGGAACCGAGGGCGCATTGTAAGAATAATCCAATAACAATACGTTGAACGTAAGAATCTCGAGAACAACAGGATAATTTTGTCACAATAGATTTCGATTTTATAACATAGACTTTATAACATTTTGTATTGGAGCAGTATTCTTCTATGATAATTATGATTTCATTATTATGATTTTAGAGGAATATAGCTTTCTTAATTGAACTTTCTAATTTCGAACGACAACGTTAATGCGACTAGCAATAAATAATGAGAATTTTATGGCAATGACTAACGAGAGTTTCGTTTTTGACATATTCTTAAATTTGGATGACTCAATCAAATATAACGATGTATCATGAAAAAATTTAATAATATAATCAATATTTAAAATATAATCTCTTGAAATAGAAGTAGAAATAAAAAAAGAAGAAAGAGCTTTTGCAAAACTTAGAGATATTACTATTAGAAGTATCAATTAAATTACGTAAAATTCCATATCATATTTAGTCATATTTAACGTAATAAATGAAGCAAATTTAGACAATAGAGATTTCGGAAGTATGAGACAGTATTTCAACGTAAATACGGAATCACGGAAAATACACGGCATGTTTTAAGGACATTTAATCGATCCTTATTCCCGGTCGCTGAATCTAACCGTAGAAAGGCGTTGAATTTCACACGAATAAGACGGCGGTTTTGTGATTCATGTGGATGAGTTTCAGCAAATGTCTATACACAAGTTGGTAATGCGATGCCACTGTTGAATATTTGGAATAGAAATCGATCGTCACGTTTTTAAACTTGTAAACTCGCATTGTATCCGACCGTTGAGTGACCATTCGTCATGATCCGTTTGTCCGATCCAGACAAACCTTCTTCACGACATGAAGTGAATTGATTTAATTGCGACGTGATTTTTCCGAAATAACGATCGCCACTCGTTTTGTTGACATGTGCGTGTAATATTAGCTAATCAGTTGACATTAAAAAACTAATAAAAAGATAATATGCTATCTAATCAACGCGGGGAAATTTAGTGGTGATGTGGTCATTTTAAAAGTTTGGGGTGCTGAATGAATAGTGAAAGGTGGGGATACAGGTATATAAGTAAGCCCGATGAATAGGGAAGGACATTTTACAGTGAGCAGTACTTTACAAACGACACTTTGACCTGAAGCCAAGGACCTAAACCTTAATCATAGTTGGAGGCGGATCATACTCAGTGTGTGAGTACAAATAGAAGCTTTTAGATTCATACAGGCGATTGTACTTATATTTTAAGTAATCGGCAATCGGTAAATTCGTTAATTGTTGTTAATGTCTTGTGTTTCGAGAAGTCGGAGGAACCGAAGGCGCATTATAAGAATAATCCAGTAATAATACGTTGAAGATAAGAATCTCGAAAACAATAGGATAATTTTGTCACGATAGATTTCGATTTTATAACAGACATTATTGAAGCAGTATTCTTCTATGATAATTAGGATTTCATTATTATGATTTTAAAGAAATATAGCTTTCTTAATTGAACTTTCTAATCTCGAACGAGTAATCGGCAAGAGGACCCGAGGTATTCTTTTCGTGGATCGGCGAAGTATCGGAGGAGCTATTGTTAGATGAAATCTAACCAGTGTGATGAATATAGAAACAATCATCACCGGGTTAAGATTTCATAAATATTAGGTTCCTCCACGCCTGCGACCTGTCCGTCTCTCGCTCGAGTATTTTTTGCTATTGAGGGTAGAAAACGATATAGTCATACGGTAAAATAACGGTCTGACTAGATTGTTTATTACCATCAATGGGAAGAGATAATGCTCTGTCTGAAAATCGTCGCCACATATCATCAATAATCTCGTTTACTTTTCTTTGGTGATCTACCTACATGATAAACCAGCAGAATCATAAAGCTAGATCAGCAAAGCTAAATGTGCGAGATATAACGACATAAGGAACATCGTGAATGGATTAGCGTGAACGTATAAAGATATAAAACACATAAAAGTGCGTGCAAACATAAACAAGAAAAAGAAATGTGTATGTCTACTATGATATCGCTTCGTTTGTACCAATATCTCTATTGTAAGTTATGTGTATACGATTGTGGAAGATGTAGAAAGATGCGGTTATGGTGTTCATGACGCGTCGAATAAATTGCGTCATTCAATTACGCCGAGTTCGTAACAAGAAATTACTCGGAAGTACCATTTTTAGGCGGCAATGTTCACTGGAACTATTGGGGTGATATGTTGCGATACGATAATTATATCACAGCAGTAGTTACCGTAGTCACTGTCGACCACGCACGTCTTCGCTCCGATTTCTTCTTTAGTGAAAAACGGAATATTGCGCTTATTGCGGTCGTCTTATAGCATTGATACATGCGTGAGGTAAATATAATCCGGTTTGACGGATTTAAAATCGCCACTGGGTTATATTTGTCCATCGCAGGTATTAACCAATCGCCTGGACTAAGAGTATTAGTATCATAGACCAGCTAGACCTTATTGTTATAACATACAGTTGTTTAGGGACTACGAGCGTCACAAATTCATATATTTGATAGGATTGTGCCACGTAGTGTCTACAACAGTACGTTGAATATATTGGACGCAACTCGCACACAGACGATTCCAATTGTAGTTTGCGATTAGCCTAACATTACATTTTTATATAACAGTAAATAATTTGCTTGAAATTTGCTTGAAATAAATAAAAGTCGTGGAGACTTGTTTTACGTAAGAATGTTTAAGATTACCTTATTTACGAGACAATTCCTGAAGTCCATTTGCATGTCAGTTACTGACACTCTGTCGTGGGGTCTTTTGGGTCCACTTACACTCGAGACGACAGTGTTCAAATCCAAAGTGACTACTTCGGAGAAGATTGGGTCCTGATTCGGATCGTCGTAATTCCTCAGCATGCGCACAGACTTGAGATATTTCTCAATTCTGTCAATGTGTTCCTTAGATCGGTCTAGAATATTGCGGAGAAAGATATCTCTGTACAATATTGTACTACTATTGAAACAATGTTACACAGTAATGTAAACAAATATTTAAGGTGATATACATGATATTCCATCTACTGATGAAACTTACTTGTTTGTTTTAAATACGCTAAACTCTGTTCATCCACTGGGAAGAAGCCCACGGTCGCGCCATACTCTGGACACATGTTGGATATCGTAGCACGATCCGCAATACTCAACTGCGTGACTCCAGGTCCGAAGAATTCGACGAATTTGTCTACCACTCCGATTTGCCGAAGATTCTATACAATATTTAAAATATCATAAATTCTTATCGTGACATTAAAAGAAATTAATCATTGTAAATATTCGTAAAACTGTACAAGACGCTTTATTATAAAAATATTATTTTTAAAATAACTAACTTTTCTCTCTCTCTAAGGACAAACTAACTATCAAAGATATCAAAGATTTGTTCTTATAATAACTAGCTAAAACAAAAGCGACTTTTACTTTTGTAATTGTAAGAACAAGATCAGTGGATGTAGCGAATTGGTTCAGTACGCCCTCCAGTTTGTATCCCACGACTTTTGGTATTATCATAGAGATTGCTTGACCAAGCATAACAGCCTCTGCTTCAATCCCACCGACTCCCCATCCGAGTACACCAAGACCATTGATCATAGTGGTATGAGAATCTGTGCCCACTACACTATCGGGGTACAGGAGTTTGTTGTTGTCGAATACTACTCTCGCCAGATACTCCAAATTCACTTGATGCACGATTCCGCTGCCAGGGGGTACAATTAACATATTCTCGAATGCCTTCGCGCCCCATTTGAGAAACATAAAACGTTCCTTGTTTCTTTCAAATTCGATATCTTCGTTCTTTTTCAAAGCATCCGTGCTGAAAAATGCAACAATATTTGGATTTATTCGAATCACGTTATGTAGTAACAAATATAGGAATTGCAGTTCTTGTGCTTTATTTACGTCTATTTTTGTAACGTTATCGTGTGTATTACGTAAGACTTTTTTATGCATACAACATTACAGCAATATTGAATCTTTAGGTTCATATGATAACCTTTTACTTCTTGTATTAGAATATCATTGCTAAAGATCAATATAGACTTGCTAAAACATTAAAATATACCTTCTTGTAAAATCAGCCTGTACTGAATGATCAATTACAAGATCTGATGGACAAATTGGATTGATCTTATCAGGATCACCACCAAGTTTTTTTACAGCATCTCTCATTGCAGCAAAATCTACTACTACAGGTACTCCAGTAAAGTCCTATTTATAAAACAATATAGTGATAGTTAAATATCTCTTTTATACAATTACAATTAATGAAATATAAAGAATTGCTTGAGTAAAATTTTTAAGAAATTATACCTGTAGTAATACTCTGGCTGGTTTAAAAGCCACTTCCACTCCTTCCTGAAGCATTTGATTATTTTCCCAATCCAAAATCTTTTCAACATCTTTCTTCGTCACTTGAAACTCATCACAGTTGCGTACAGCACTCTCCAAGAGGACTCTGATGGAAAATGGCAATCTATCTATGTGTGTAACATAGAAATTAAAATAAATATATAATTTGTTTATTTTATATAAAATATTCTAGATTAATAAATAAAAATATTAATTTTTTACCATATTTTGCTCCAAGACAGCCAAGATCATAATAGCAATGCTCCTTCTCTCCGAGTTTGATTGTCCTTAGTAGGTGCTTGTATGGATTTTTCTCTGAAATAGCAAAAATTTCATAAGTGATTTTTTATTATAAAATAAAAAAATCAGAATAAAACAATTTCTATAAAATAAGAGATTTCTTAATAAGTTACATTATCCATAATTTAGTCACCTAAAATAATTAAATTTGACATATCATACAGAAGAATGTAACCTAAAATAGCTTTTTCTACTTAAAATGTTTAAAATGGTTTTTTCTTTTTTTATTCCACAATTTCAATTTGGTATTACATCCTAAGTTGCAAAATGTTATATTTCTATACTATTTCTTTACATTTATGTCAACACACAGTATTTCACTTTTAAAGAATGTTTTTAAAGTTTACAAGTTATGATCTTTAAATGTTGCAATCTTCATCATCAATTTGAACATTCCTAAATCTAATTCTACGCAATTGGATATTTTTAACAAAGAAGTATGAATTAATATTTTATATAACAATAAATCGATCGAGGATAAAACAACAATAAAAAATTCAACGTCCTTAGTCGCTTATTTTCTTTTTTTTTTGACAAAATAAAGGTACAAGTTAATCACGCCTCTTTACTTACCAGCCATGATTGTCACTGTACAAGTCACGTCGTCCCGCCGCGTTAATATGTATATAACAGTTTATACTCAGTGTCCTATAAACACTCTGTAAGACAAACGTAATACGTTTCTAATGAAAGTAGCCTTATTTTCGTCAAAATGTGAATTAAAGATGCTATTTATAGGAGAAAAAGTTGTTCTGTAAATATAACTTATCTTTTTATCGTCCGAATCAATAGAAAATAGACGCAATAAGATTTGTACAATAGAACCAAATTATTTGTGTTACGTTACTTCATATCGTTTCTCTTACGTTAATTAAACAATCCATACATACATAATTCATAACATTCCGTGACAATGCAATTACTATACGTTTAAATATGCAACGCAGAGAGCAAAGTTCAACCACCTATATAGTACATTTATTATTGACGCTCGGTATATAGAGATCACGTGGTATATGCGATATATCGCCACTATCGAGAGTTCCAAGCGTCGTTCGTGTGATAACGCAATTAATGGTCATTTTTTTAAGTAAACCATCAAGTTGACAGCAAGGTGTGCTAGTCATTTTTCGCAAACGTTATACCTAATAAATTAATAATGGAACGAAATTTGGAGAAAACACTGGATAATGTGTAAGTTCCGTGAGAGTCGTCGAGATATAGGTTATATTAAATAATTTCCCTCAAAATATAGAACAGATTTTTTCATAAATTATTCTGTTTACATCACGTAATATGAATCAATATATCATCTTACAGAATCAGTGAAGATGGTGTCATTGGTTGCATCTTAGCTGATCATGCTGGTCTTTGCTTAGGAGGTAATAAACTATTGCATCAACACAAAAGTGTAAACAAGATTGTAAAAAATTGCGAAGATAAAACTTACATATAGCAAAGTCAGAGCAAAAAGGATAACAAGACTTTTTCAGTTAAAGGTAATGCATCGAGTGATAGTGCAGGAGTGATTGCTGCTATAGCAGATCAAGTTGCAAAATTGGAGCCAAAGTCACCAAAACCAATCATATCGCTTCAAAATGACAACAGGTAATACTATTTGTGATATTATTGATGTAAAGCAAGAACTTGTACCACCAAATAATAGCAATAATATTGTGAATCAACTTTTCAGGCAATGTCTTATATATAGGAAGGGGCCTGTAGTTGGCGCTATATACAAAGATATGTCCACTTGAAATAATTATTGTTTGTTGTATATACTATTGAAATGGATTTATGTTCTAAAAAGAATTTATGAGAATATTTTATTATTTAGATATGTTACTGAATAAATTTTGATATATATAAGGACTATTCCACTAGGTCTCTTATTTTGAATCACTACTATGAGATTGTAGAAAATAGGTGTAATTATATTACAATTCTCCAAGATTTATAACAGAGAGAGCCTTCATGCACTGCAGCTATAATCTGTAGTGAATTTGTATATTATCATAAATAGAATAATTCACAGCACAAAAGTCTAAGGTCACTCGCTCTTCCTTTGCTTGCTTCTTCTTCTTTCATACCACTTGTTTGTGCCGAGCCTGATCAATTCGTAATGCTCATACATCCAAGACATTAGTACGATTGTGAACATCACCATGCCAACCAATAGGTGCAATAGTTTCTCAGCCGGGAAAAAATATGCCTGAAACAGAAGAAATTTAACAACAAATCAGCAGCATAGCATCCGTACAGATGTATAAAAAAATTATTGCAGGGATACTCTACGTGTGACAAATTCGTGATGAGCGCGGCTACAAGTAAAGAGGCGGAAAACATCGGCTTCGGGACTAATCCGCGTAAGGGACGATAGATCGTCTCCTGATGTCTCCTGTTGATGAACAACGCGGAGTGCACGATTCTCAGACTCATGTTGACACAATTGCCGAGGATAAAGCCGACTGGGCCAAACCAAGTGGCGAATAAATACGATGCGCCCAGAAACGCGATCGATTCGTAGACCATGATCAAGTTACTCTTGTTTATGGTCGCGCTGTCGGCCGTCGCATTGGTGTAGCACTCTGTCACACCGTTAATTCCCAGCAATAATACCGCGAGGCAATGTGTTCTCAGGAGGAGGATAGGTAAAGGCAAGGTTAACTTCGAGCCGCCGTACAGCCAGAGTAACGTACTCGAGTAAGATTGACCGAACACCAGAACGATTAGACCGATAGACATGACGATTGAGCACAAGTGCATCAAGACATTCACGCTCTCTTGTACCTTCATCTGAAACAAGATGCAGCTTATGAGTTGGCTCGGTATAAATAAATACGTTAAGAGTATACAGGATGTTAAAAAAAAAAAGGATTCAAGACTTATAGAGTAGATAGTACTCATTATATTGAATAAGAAATGTTTAGAAACATAGGTAGAAAAATCAATCCTTTCAATTTAGAGTTACAAATATTTTTGTATCAATAGAAGTACGTAAACTTGCGTTATTAAAACCGAAAGAAATATCTAATCCTGAAGACTGATTTTCTGACCATATTTATCAAACATTTACTGAACATTTTTTATTCAGTATAATAAGTACTATCTACCATATAAGTCTTGAATCTTTTTAAGTTACAGCCTGGACACTGACTGGATTCTGATCAGATATGGTTTTGTCCCTCTTTATCATCTGCGTGAAGTAGAAGTATCCACTTTCTTCAATTGGACGGAAAATAAATCTAGCGGCCAATGAGCCTAAATTATTCACAACCTCGTAGATACCCTAATGAAAGATAAATGGCGGTTAATTTTTGATAACGATATCGCGATGCATATTGGTGCGCGATTATACCTGTTCTGTGAACGTCAGTACCGGCATTATAGTCATGATTAGTCTCTCGCCTTCTGTCAAAATTTGCTTTAGTATTCCTTGCCTAAAGAAGCTCCATGTGAGAACAGTTAACTTTCTATCAAGATACGGATCCTACGAAATAACTGTTGTACTTCTTAAACGATAATAACGGCAATGTGGTTGTATTTATACATACATTATTTGCCAGCTGGCCCGGTAAGAAATCCTTTACGTCGTGAAAAGGAAATTCTCTCACCACATACTCGTCACTGCTATCTTTCAGAGACATTCTCCGCTTCTGTACGCATTTGTTCAGTTTTGCGATATGATAGTGGAAATACACGTAGTGACTAGTAGTGTAAAATATTGCCGCAACAAGTTGAGCTATGCCAAATGCAAGTAGTGCATTATCCGGATGATATAATATTAGCGGGACGAATGTCAAGGTGCGTACAGTGATCATAATGGTGTCGAGAATTATCTGAAAGAACGTACATGATGGTGAGATGGACTCCCTCTTTCAGAGAATTTTGCAGCTTCTTTTTCTGCATCTTACTTTAAGCCTAACGAATAGAAATGCACTCGCGACCAATTGAACAATTAAGGAAGACAGTTCTATGATACACGATAATCCAACTGCCCAAACTGCAAATGTGTAGTACGGTGGTAATGCTTCTGTAGTAAAGAGTAGGAACAACCAAATGTATCCAAACAGGAAGGACATCACAATGCATATAGGTACTCTACAAAATATGGTTAATTTATATTAATTTTGTCACATAAAAGAATAATTAGGACTTCTTATTCTGGACTTCCTTTCATTCATAAAAGTATTTTTATATGTGACTTATAAACCTTTTGATTGGCTTATAAACATACTTAGAATCTCTTTTATCGATAAAAGAGAATTCAGAGTAAGAGATTTAGTGTATATATCAAAAGATAAACTAACGTTAGCCAGAGAAGATTCACAACTTGAGCCCAATTATGCTCTGCTGTATTAGTCAAACATGCTTTCATGAATGGTTCACGCGACAAGAATAGTATCATAGATTCCAGCAGCAACAATCTCACATTAATGACACCTAAGACTGCTTGGCCTACATGCCGAACAACAAATGCGTTCAAGACAAATGTGATACAGCGGCAGAATATCTAGAAAAAGAATTACACAAATTTCATGTAATTTTAGTAATTTCTGTTAATACAAAGTACAGGATAACAGTCTGATTAGTCGATCGCCTTTAAAAGAGTGAGAACGTTGAAAAACGAGCTATATGTTAATATAATAAAATGTAAAAGGATTTCTAGAATAGTAATTGAATCATTAGCAAAAACTTTGACATATTTTGCTAGCGTACCTGAAATATAATATTAAAGGAAGCGTTCTCCAAGCTGCTTTTCAGAAGATTCGGCGGCATTTTCAGGCAGACTTGATAATAATCATGAATATTTCGAGATTCCCGCCGAAAGGAAACGTCAACGGAATTTGAATAGGTTATGTAGATTTTAGATAATCGCCAAACCTAAAACTATTTTGATGCTTGATCATTTCTTCTCAATTATATTCATACTGTCGACCGCTTTAATTGCACCGCTTTGACTCCGTCACCATAAAAAAAGAAAGGGAACGATTATTATTTCAATTGAGCTGATAACATTTTGTGACGTAATTACGGTTTACGTCGCATCCATCGAATAACAAAAGTAGACAGAACGTAAAACGCGGAACCTGAAGTGTAGGTGAAAGGAATCGGAAAATAGGTATCTGTAACAAAAAAAGATGAAGAAAAAATGAAAAGACAGCTGAGTGTTCGATCACACACTAAACCAAGAAAAGATTATATTCTTGTAATACACAATAAAAATTAATATTTCAAAATAATCTATGTATGCATCATGTATGCACATACAACATTTTATATATATATAGGATGTCTCAGAACAATCTCTGTGCCGCACCGCACAGAGGGTGCGGTACAGCAACCGCTACAAATGCTGCGCAGTGTTTCTCCCTCTTATTCTATTCCTCGTATATTCGTATCAAATTCATACTAAATATTTAATACGCACGATGTAAACACTGACAGATCAATTTTGTACGAGCGTACCAAGTAGGAGTATCGTACTAAATTAATACGCGTATCAAATGATACAAATGACAATGTATGAAATGTAAACGTATGAAATGAATGTTAGAGGGAATCTAACCTAGTTAAAATCGGTGTTATCGGTAACCGTTGGTTTCTCTCAAAGTATATTATAGTAAAATGACTTGTAAAAAAGATTATAAGTTAGAGAGAAGAAGAAACGGGAACATCTTTAGAGTTATGCATTCTGACTTTCGAACAAAGCTATCTCAAGCAAATTGCAATTCCAAATACCGCCACTAGGAAGCAATCGGCATGAATTAAATTCGTATTATATTTTTCCTTTAGTACATTTGATGTAAACGCACCCGTATTAAAACATTGGTGCACATCAAATTTAATACGCGTACTAACGTTTTGACGATGTAAACCAGGGCTGCGTTCCGAAATTCACTGCCAGTACTGAAATTCTATAATATACGTAACATGAACTATAGATTTTCAGTACTGGCAGTGTATTTCGGAACACAGCCCAGGTCAATAATAATGTAACGTCCGGATCTATTTTAGAACATTAATAATATATTATTATAGACCGGGAGGCCGACTTGTCTGATTTCAGACATCACTAGATATTTTATCCCTACGTTACTAGATGTAAGTACGTGCGCATATGCATATTCGCGAGCGTTAAAACATTATAATTAAAATGCCGAATGCTGCGTGCTGCTGGAGAGTCTCGAAATCGACGGATCGACCCAAAGAAACCGCTATCGCTCAGTGCGATAAGCCAACATAAACAGGAGCATGAAAGCTGAATCCTAAACACCACTCAGGACACCGACGCGGTGACATCATGCAAAGGAATGAATCTCTTCCCTCGCCATAACTCCATGGACCAATCGGAGAACGACTCTCAGCGACAAAGCGACATATAAAAGCGCGCGCATTTGTAGAGAAGGCAATAATTATTTTCTTCTCATAGTTAGTCTCTGGTAGCTTCATGTACTTATTCAGCATATTATACTTAGTCGTAAAATCCGACTGTGTTGCAATTACTTTTGCCTACCCTTCATATTTCAAACGTTGCGAAATCAAATTCTGAATCGCGGACCGCATCAACCCGCGTGGTATCGGAACATCCGAGGCCGAGCCAGGAGAACAAGCACCGCTGATTTTTCGCCAGATTCATCAATCGTTTCGCCAGGCTCCCGAGATCCAGGGTAAACTCGGTGAAAAGCAGAGTGACCCAAAAGCGGAGCCATCACTCTGTTGACCGTCCACGTAAGTCACTGATTTCACTACTTTCAAATTTCCCTATATAGTTATCTATCGTGGACGTAACACTATTCTATTCTAAATGCTTATTAGTCCAGATGGTTTTATATTTGTATAGTTAAATATTTTTTGAGAATAAAGTCGCAGCGCAGATAAAAAGAGAGAAAAAGCTATATGATATATATTTTCTGTTTTTTTTTAACTGATCTTTACTGCCAAATGTTGTACGCGTTTAGTCTATTCTCAATAAATCTGTTTATTTTCGAAAAACTTGGTGAAGATAATGGTTGCGTTCAGCAGAGAAAACTGCTTTGCAACTGTTGTAAAATTCGTGAATCTGATTGGAGTATGCTCTTAATTTTGATTAAATTCAAGAGCATGTACCAATCAGATTCACGAATTTTACAGTATCAACAGTTGCGAAACTTTCTATGCTGAACGCAGCCAATAGCGAGATTAGATCTTATCAGGTTCTGACAATGACGTATATACATAGACCAAGCATTCCTATACTTCTGCTGTAGCAGCGAGTGAAGTCGGAAGTATCGGAAGTTGGCAGTTTAAAACAGAGTGAGAAAGTTGATTTGCCCCTAGTGCTTTCTCATTCTATCGTGTAGAAAGACTATGGCTACGTTTACACGACGATGTTAATCGGGTTTAGTAACTACCGTAGTTAGTGATTTCTTGAATTCAATTGGAGCATATTTCTAGATCTAAAAGAATATACCAATCGGATTTAATAGTTTACTAACTATGGTAGTTACTAAACCGAATTAACCTTGCCGTGTAAACGTAGACTATGGTCGCTGTCAAGCTGTCAAGTTATGTATAATGCAGTACAGAATTACAAGAATAAAACCGTATATTTCACTTATCTCGATATAAAATTGATATTTATAATATTTTATGCTATGTATAAATAATCACAGCAATTGCTCTTATTCTGTTCTCATTCCACTGTTAAATGAAAAAGATTAGATTAGGTTGCTATAACGGCATATAGTTCTTGAATAAGATTTAGTGCTGTAAATAGTTCCACTGTACGTGCTTCAGAGCGACGAATGGATCAATCACATTGCTTTATTTATGGCCATTTTCACCATCTCCGGTTACCTTAACCGGCTAGTTATTCCATTGGAACTGACCAATCACATTGCTTTATTTATGGCCATTTTCACCATCTCCGGTTACCTTAACTACTGGTTAAATGTGCACGGTGATTGGTTAATCTTGTTAAACGACAAGTGCGATTGGTCAGTTCCAATGGAATAACTAGCCGGTTAAGGTAACCGGAGATGGTGAAAATGGCCATTAACGTTTTGCAGTATTAAACGGACCTTTCTGCTTGACAGTCAATAAGATAGAGTGAAAAAGCACTAGGGGCAAATCAACTTTCTCACTCTGTTTTAAACTGTCAACTTCCGGCTTCACTATGCGGACAGAATGCTTGGTCTATGTACGTCATTGGGTTCTGAAATTAGATAGAGAGAGAGAGAGAGAGAGAGAGAGAGAGAGAGAGAGAGAGAGAGAGAGAGAGAGAAGTAATAATTGAGTGTTACGTTATTTAATTTCTATACTACAAAATAAGAATATGTTTAACTCGTCATTATAAACCATACTATTAGAAAATAAAAATCCATTTGATCTGTCATTATTTTATTGGACGCAGTGTGAATCACTCTTTAATTTGATAGCTGACGAATTGTCAGTCGGCAATATGGCCGACCGGGCTAAGTCGTGATATGTTTTCGGCTGTTTCTCAATTTCCTTCTTTTCTGTGTAACCTAAGACGAAATGTTCAAACTAAATAATCTATCTTCTATCTAAAATAACGTAAGAGATTAAGTGATATTGTGTATCGATGAGGGCAAATAGCCACGTAACAGAACAAGCATTGGTGCCTGAAGATTGTGATAGGGTATAGACCCCTTTATCTGAGCCTTGTGTAATGAAGCGACTTGAAAAAGGACTTATCTTTTCTCGATAGTAATTTAGTAAAAGTGTTGAACAAAACAGGCGGGAGAGTGAAAGCGAGACTGCGTTCCAAGAACAATTATCATTTACTTACAAAAGGGAGGAAAGAAAAGGGAGAAAGAAGACCCAATAGTTATCAGCTGATCGTTAAAGTAGTGTCAAGATAAATCTACGATGACGTGTGTCACGTCAGGCTCCTCGTTTCTTCCTAATGACTGTGCCAGGTAAATAGAAGCCTATCTTTCGAAAGGGATAGTTCGTAAAAATGTGGGAGAGAAAGAGAGAGAGGGCAGGGAGGGAGAGAGAGATAAAGGGTGGGAGGAAGGGAAAGAGAGAGCGAGCAAGTAGGAGGAGCGGACGAAGACGGAGAAAAGTCCATGACGTACGATATCATGTCGCGCCGGTTTTGTTCGTGGCATTTGACCGTATCGGATAGACTTGGAGAGATATAAGCCGTTGCTTTTTGGAAGAAAGAGACAAAGGAGAAGAAGTAGCAGGAAAGACAGTTGCGTTTCTCTTCAAGTTTCCGCTGCGCACCGTCACAAATCCCGTTTCTTTTACAGTTAGCAGGATCGTAGGTTATTATTGCATCGTCGTGCTTCGTACTTCACAGCGTACAGTACGATACTGAGAGCTTCATTAAAAGTCACGCGTTTATCGTGCGAAGAACGCAGTCGGTCGCGAGAAGCCGCATCGTGCGAGTGTGAAATATCATCGTGTACAGGTTCGTCTACAAATACGTGGAGTAAGCTCGACGTAAGTTGAAATAAGAGATAAAAGTGATCTAACTGAGATTGTCAGACATTATGTTATCCTCTGTAGTTAAATATTCGCATCAACAACCGCGACAAACAACTCTTATCTGTCGTCTTTCTCTTTGGTTGTGTTTCAAGACATTTTTTTGAGAAAATTTTTTACCAATCTATAGATTTTATAGTATAACTAATCATATTACTAACCATATTATCATATACCAGTTAGTATTCAATATGTAATATGAATTATAAATTTTCAGTGAAATCTTCCTTAAAAAGAATGTTTATCTTTATTTTACAGGAGAAATAAACCCAGATAACACATAATCTTCATAGAATGTTCTAGAACGTTCTTATGATGTATGAATGTCCTTAGAATGTCCTTAGAACGTCTTTAGAACATCTTTTGAAGATTTGTGTTGTATGGAAAGACAAACATATGATTTAATTGTTAGTTAGCTTACCACCCAGTTGCTGCAACCAGGTCTGAGAAAGTCATGTTTATATAGTTTGTTAAAAGTAATTTATTTAATGTTGGTAGAACAAGACCTAAGGTCTTTAAGAGTCATTCACAATTGTTTAGTGCCAAAAGTTCCAGCTTAACCGCCGTTACGTTAAGACGTGTTCAAACATGTTTGAACCTGTGATTTTTTGAGGAAGGACATTCATATATCCTAAGAACGTTCTAGAACATTCTGCGAAGATTTTGTGCTATCTGGGTTTATTTCTCCTGCAAAATGAAGATAAACATCCTTTTTAAAGAAGTTTTCATTGAAAATCTATAGTTTAAAATAATTTATTTTGTACCAAAGTGAGAGAATTAGTGTCTGGTTTAACCAACTTTGTTTAGTAAAGTCTTAATCTGAATTTAAATTGTCTTCCGGCTTTCAGTCAATGGCTTATGCACATTTACCAATGTTGATTAGACTTTCATTTCTCTGTGTGTGTTTATATAATTAGAGTTTAAATTCAATTCGTCCAAGTTCTATTCATTTGAATAGAGTTGAAATTTAAATTGAGATTTAATTGACATTAATAGAAATGAGTATTAGGCCCAACAAGTTTTTGTCTGAAGCAATTTAAGTCAGATTAAGACTTAATTGCATTATAACTGTTCTTTTTAGCTGAACTGCCTGAACTAATGCACACTGGTGCAATAAATTAGAGACAAACATATTTTATTTCATTCAAACTTAATGCACCAGAGTGTATCAGTTCGGGCAGTTCAATTAAAAAGAACAGATCAATTAAGACGTTGGTAGAACAAGACACCTAAAGCCTTCAAGAGTCATTCACGATTGTTTAGTGTAGAGTTCGTGCCTAAAACCGTCGTTACATTAAGACGTATTCGAACGTTCGAACCTGATTTTCTTTGGAATTCGTACCTCGGTATCTTGGATAAAAGGACAATAGAGATAAGTCTGAATAATAAGAAGAAGAAGAATTGTTTAGTGCCGAGTTCCGGTTTAACCGTCGTTATGTTAAGACGTGTTCGAACACTTTCAGACCTGTGATTTTTTGAGAAACGTACCTTTTGGTAATTTGATGAATGGACCGTAAAGAAATCCAAGTAAAATAACCAGAGACAAGAGACTGTTTAGTGCCAACTGAAATTTATATTGTAAGAAGATAATTTTTGACAATGCTCAACGCATGCGACCGATTTTGTCCCGCGAATCAGCTTTCCACGTCAGATCGACTTGTCGACTCTAATTATTACTAATATTATTAATACCCATTCCTTATCTCAGTTAATTGGACATTTTTTACTCAATTTTAATGTTGCGAGAAATACTGCTTTATTATTTATAGTAAGAGAAGTACTTTCAGTGTAAAGGAGGTAGAGTATAAGCGCGTAAGCGAGATAAATTATTTTTATTTCTCTTACGCCAACACTTATGCCAAGTTTATACTTCGCGTATTGTAGACGAGCCTTTACGTGTTTACGTGTTTTTGCCTGAAAACGGTCGTGTCTACTTGTCAACTACTACTTGTTCTTCTTCTTCCATAGCGTCCTTTCACGCCACTTTTGTAAAAATCTGAAAAGTAAGTATCACGCTGGCTTATCGTGCGACGCCACGCTTGATTGCGTGGTGCGATCTAATGTAATACGATATCACGTCGTTAACCACATGACGACGACGATGATGACGAAGTTTGTTAAAGGATAAATTAGTGCGCGACTTGCTTTCGATTACTGAGATGAAAGCAGCTGATCTGTCCTGTCGTGTCCTTTGTATTCTCTGTGGTGGAAGTGAGCTAAAGTGTGCTATTATTTGTAATTTATGTTAAATGGTTCGTATCAATACAAGTTCATTTTTGTAAACGAAATATCTAAATGAACTTGGGCCAAGAGACGTCTCTGATGGAAAAAATCTTGGTAAATGTATCGTTTATCCAGTTGTCTTATCTCAGTTCTGTTTCTCAGTACTGTCAATAATCAACAACTAAGTAAACATAGCAATTTATTAGTATCTGTATAATGTGAGAAGTATTGATGGCACTGTTTATTGTGTCAAAGAAAGAATTATTGCATAGTTTCAGTGAAGTTTAGATGGAATATAATTGATTAATAGGGATGAGCTTGCGTGAGCAGTGTTATGACAGAGACAACAAATTTATCAGCTAACAGTTAGTGTTCTTTACGTAATACAATGTTTCACATTTTTGTCATCATTTAAAAATAGCAAGCAAATAGATAAATAGATGCACATTAGAAAGCTAGAACTTTTATTCTTGTATATATAATCAAAATGAAATGGATGAGTGCAGGTCAAGAAGAAAAAGATGTCGTAGTTGTGAAAAGACAAGCAGAGTCTTTTGTGGACACAATTTCCATACAATTTATTCCCATATATTACATATGCAAGAAATATCACTAAAATACTTGTCAATCAATATTTTGACTTTCATTATCATAATTGTTAATAATGTAAAGTCAAAAATAAGATATTATAATTACCACTTTTATTGTTTTAGTACTAAATTATTTCCCTTAACAGGGACAAACTTTATACATATACTTTTATATAGTATAATATAAAAATTTTATTCGCACACACATACAATATAATAATATATTATCGAGAGATATATACAGTAAATTATCTTTAAAATTTCTTCTATATCTCAAGTGATAATTACAATATTTTATTTTTAACTTTACATTATTAATAAATTATGAAAGTCAAAATATTGATTGACAAGTATTTTAGTCATATTTCTTGCATATGTAATATATAGGAATAAATTGTATGGAAATTGTGTTCACAAAAGATAAAAATGCGCATAATATTATGTGACGTGAATGTAAATACAATTGTGTGCATGCTTATGTATATTGTATGTGAACTTTGACTCTATACTTCAAGGACAAGTGTGTTAACAGTTTATAATCTGAGTGTTGACACTTTATGTAGAATCTGAAGAATTGCGTGTACCTGGAACTTTATAGAAATTTTTATTATTAATTATTAAAATATTAATTATAATTATAATAAATATTAATAATAATAATAAAAATTATTTATATTATTAGTTATTTGAAATTGTTAAGTGTAAAGTCCTAAATCACCGATTTGTTATCTATTTATGTTGTGTCTTACTGCTTATATCTTATGTCTATTTTAATTTTAATCGGTCTTAAGCATGTATACTTTTTTATGTTACAGCAAAGAGGTTGTTTCCTGTAACGGAGAATTTTGCAGTAAATCATTCAACGCTAAACAATGAGACCACAAAACCATGAGAATAATTTAACTTCAGAAACTATGGCGTCTAATGGATACCCCGCTGCCGAGACTACTGCCAAAGAAGCGAGGAATCACTCATCCCCTTGTGAGTCAGTGAATTGTATGTGTGCTTAGAGATTGCTAATATTTTTATTTTTTATTATACATCATTTCGCCACGTTAATCATTATTTTCATATAATATTTGATACTTTTTATCTTGCATTGCGATTTTGATAATTCCCTTTAAGACTGTAGTGTGGTTTCTTAGGTTGCGTTAGTGTGTTGAAATGTCAGTATCACAGTTGTTGCACAAGTTGCAAGTAACAAAGTAGATAATAGATTTGTTTGCAATACAAACGTTTATATTTGTTTTATTTGAGTGTTATCCAGTTGTAATTGCTAATTGTGTGTATATCTTTATATTTTGTTATGCATTTTTCTGCACGAGCTTTCAACGATCACATTTGCAAAAATGTGTAGTTTTAGTCCTTGTGCTTTTTTTAATCGCTAATCATATTATCTCTTTTGACAAAAAGATATGCGTATCTTTTCATATTATATATCTCATTCTGACGTAATTCGCAATATGTATTCGCAATAAATATTAATGTACGTTACCATTATAGCGATGCCTTGGTTTGGAATGGACATAGGTGGTACACTATGTAAATTGGTGTACTTTGAACCTAAGGATATAACAAGAGACGAGGCCGACGCAGAAGTTGAAACTCTGAAGAATATACGTCGGTACCTTACAAAAAACTCGGCGTACGGAAAAACCGGACATCGCGATACGCATCTACAGGTGAGCGTTGCTGAATATTCGACGCATTTTCCTCGCGATTTTTATTGCTCATGCAGATCAGTTTCGCATTATTGTCTTCTTAATGATTGTTTCAGATGGATAATGTTTGTATTCGAGGCAGACGAGGTACATTACATTTTATAAGATTTCCTACGAGCGAAATGGGAAATTTCTTAGCATTAGCAAAATCGAAGGGCATGGCGAATCTTGTAACTACGGTTTGCGCCACTGGAGGTGGTGCCTTCAAGTTTGAGGAGAATTTCAAGAAGGTACTGCTGAATTATGCTTCCCGATATATTTATCATTGCGATAAAAATTCCCTAGTATAATTGAAATGTCTCTTTTCAGGAAGTAAACATGAATTTGGCGAAATTTGACGAGTTAGATAGTTTAATACGTGGAATGCTTTACATTGAAACCACCAATCCACACGAGTGTTATTATTGGTCGAATCCCACTGATAATAGCAGATGCCAGAAAGTACCTTACGACTTTTCCGAACCGTATCCTTTCTTGGTAAGGATTCTTCACTCTGTGATATATTATTATGTGTTTGAATTACGTAGTTTCTTTTGATAAGATAATATTATATTTTGCAGCTTGTTAATATAGGCTCTGGAGTAAGCATATTAACTGTGTATGGACCAGAGGATTATAAAAGAATATCTGGGACGAGGTAAGTTGCGCATGTATTATATCATATGTTAGCAAGCATGTATATACAATGTATATATATATATTTTTTTTAAAGTAACATGTTAGCATAAAATATATGCTTTGTATAGTTTAGGTGGTGGAACATTCTTAGGATTGTGTTGTTTACTTACTGGGTGTAACACTTTTGAAGAAGCAATAGAGTTGGCGACGGGTGGTGATAATACAAAAGTAGATAAATTGGTTAAAGATATATATGGCGGTGATTATGGTCCTTTTGGTCTTCCCGGCGACTTAGTTGCTAGCAGGTAAACTTCATAGCGCAATCGTTCACTTATCTTTCTGATTATTCTGAATATTCCGCAGTCTTCTGTGGGACAATTTTTCATTCCAAACATTTGACTTGATTTTATTCTTTGCTATTTTCACACAGTTTTGGACAAATGAATTCCAAAGATCGCAGGAATGCAGTCACGAAGGAAGACTTGGCACGTGCAACGCTTGTCACTATTACAAATAATATCGGTTCCATTGCACGCATGTGTGCCGTTAATGAGAAAATTGAGAGGGTAATATACGCGAACCACGTTATCCGATACAATTTCTTTAGCCGACGTTTTGTAACTGCTTTTGCTTTTAGGTCGTATTTGTTGGGAATTTTCTCAGGGTAAATCCTATATCGATGAAATTGTTGGCCTACGCTATGGACTATTGGTCTAAAGGAACCATGAAGGCTCTGTTTTTGGAACATGAAGTGAGAAGATAGTTAGAGAAGCACATTTTTATTTCGAGACGAGTAATTTGGATATATCACAAATGGATTTCTTTTTTATGATTGCAGGGTTACTTCGGCGCTGTGGGATGTCTGTTACAATTTAATGGCGAGTCGAACTAAACGCGAGGGACAACATTGGGAAACGGTCATGCAACATGTAGCATTCCATAAATCAAACTTATTCGTAGAATAAATTTTTGAAGCTACTGTTCGCGACATAGCTATTTATTTTTGTTATATTTTTTTTAATTCCTCAGAAATCCATGTATCAGGAAAGAGAAAGAGAAAGAGGGGGAGGGGAGGAGAGAAAATAACTGTTTATTATGCATACCGCAAGACAGAGAGATGTCTTGATATTTAAGTACAATTAATATTATATTTATGTGAATTGTCCTTACACAACTTATCATAATTTTGATATAGAAAGCAATAATTTCGGGGTATTTCATTTTGTTTGTCAGAGGCAGCTGTATATTGTTTAAGCTATATAATCGTTCGATTATGAGCACAAATTCATCACGACTTGGCGATAATGGACCAAATCCAATGGGATTGAGAATCGTCCTGTCTCCTATCTATCCCGATGTTCGTTACATGCCGTATAGACTAGTTCTACCTCATAATTTATATTGAACTTTTCTACGAATGCACAGGTTTTTATGTATATAAGTAACGGCAGTCGTTATTACAAGTTGCACGACTTTTCGTAAGTTTATAATCAGCGAACGAAGCCATTCTAGCGATAGATACTTTTGCACGATCGTCAATATGCGTCATTCTGTTATTAATATGTTGTGTGAAGTAGGCAAATTTTTAACTGAATTTTTATTCAGACGTTTTAGTGAGTTGTCTAGAAAATGTTATTATTGTTTGCATAGTGGATGAAACCGAGTCTTACAAATTTTTACAAGTTTCATTGTATTTACAAAGTTCGAGGTTACTTCGATAAGATATCGCGATTTGTAGTACGTGGCGCACGTGTCATTCGGACATTACAAGATGATGCAACTACGCGTTAAATACGTTAAATGCCGGATGTTAAATCATGATTCCAAGAAGTATAATATATAACGTGAATAAATAAACGTAATTGAAATACTGATATCGTTGCAAAGAAGAAGTTCGCACGCGTTTTGCGATATACTGTATGACCCCGTATATACGTTCTATTTTAATTGCCTGACGTTAGTGGCAATTAACATAGTTTTGTATATGTTATTTGTTATTCACCGTTAATTTAATATATTATCGTGAGCATATCTTTGTACAGAACGAATAGCTTCTTCTGTTACAATGTATTGTGGAAACATGCCAAACGAACTTTGATATCAAATAAACTATCATTTTAATATATTGCGTTATATGTTATCCTTGATGAAAATTAAACTTCATGATAAATTAATGCAGTGTATATGCAATCTAGATATATTATTTCTTTAGTGACATTAAAATATATATAATTACATATGTTGTATGTAATATTTTATTTTTGTATATATTTTACTTGTTTTTCTGTCTAAAAATTGCGATTGCATAAAAAACCTAATGAAATTTAGACGTATATTTGAAAATTCGTGCCGATCTAAGGTATAACACGCGGTTACTTAGCAACGATTTTACAAAACAGTGCCAGTTAGGTATCAAGTCAACCGAGTCGTCAGACAGCAGCTGATACGATACTAGTCTTTGTACTGTGGTAGTTATCGTTATTATTCGCACAATATTTTGCTACTATTTTTGAAAGCCACTGCATCTGATAAAGCAGTTTTTTACGCGTTATTTTTATCAGTATTGACAAACAATGGTAAGTTTAATTGATTGTTATGTAATTGCTAATCTATCAAGGGGATTTATGAGGGACGATTATTACCGTTCTACTGTTATAATTAAAAGTGTTACAATTAGTACAAACAATCTATATAAACGGAGTATAGATTAAATTCAAAATATTAAATATCTGCAAAGTCGAATTCCATTTCGTACATATTTCTCTCGACTCTCTGTATTAATTAATTATTGCTATTAATTAATTAAAATCATTGAAGGGTCCGAAAAAGGCGAAAGGGAAAACAACAGATACCGTTGACGGGGTGGATACAGCAAAGATGAACAGGGAGCAATTAGAGATATATGCTCATAAGATATTAGAGGAGATGGAACGCGAACGAGAGGAGAGGAATTTCTTTCAGATAGAGAGAGATAAATTACGAACCTTTTGGGAGATCACGAGACATCAACTGGACGAAGCGCGTGCCACGGTCAGGTACTGTAATGATAACATTGTTTTGCATCTGGTGCGTGGATTAATTCCGCACGTGTACTCGCGAATTGCGCAGGAACAAGGAACGTGAGAAAGAAGAACTGGAGGAGAAGCACGAGACCGAGCTCAAGCTGTATAAGCAGAAAGTGAAACACCTGATGTACGAGCATCAGACGAATTTATCGGAGACCAAGGCTGAGCATTTGGTCGCTCTCAAATTGGCGCAGGATGATCACGAAGTGCAGGAGAACGAGCTCATCAAAGATAAAACAGAGCTTAAGAAGACGCAAAAGGAGCAGGAGTTGTCGTACATGAACGAGATTCGCGCGTTGAAGCTGGTGAGATGCGTCTGTGAAATGTAGACTTCAGCTATAACATATATTGAAGTCTATGCGCTTTTATTTTATTAATTTATTATAACTTACAATATTATAAATTAGTCAGAATATAATATAAAAGAAGAAAATTACTTATATAATAAAGAAAACGTTGCTAAGTTTTGTATATGTTAAATTACAGCATAACTCGGAGGAAATGAACAATATGATGAAGAGATTCCAGTCGGAAGCGGCGGAAATGGAACAGAAGTATGAGCAAAAGTTAACCAATCAATACGAGTCTCTGACGTTGAAACATCGCATGGAAATTACGGAGGTGGAGGAAAGGAAGAACACGCAAATTGCAGATTTAATGAAGAATCACGAAGACACGTTCACCGAAATGAAAACTTATTACAACGATATTACGCTGAATAATCTGTCGTTAATTAAGAGCATGCAGGTAGAGCTTATCATTTTTGTTTGCTGTCAAATGTCGCGAATACGATAAGGTAATTTACTGAAAAAAAAAGGATCAGAAATATATCGTCAAAAATTTTTGCAATAGGAACAAATGGAGACGATGAAAAATAATGAGGAACGTGTGAAGAAACAGGTACGGGAACTGACAACGGAGAATAAGAAATGTTCTGGCGACTTGAAGGTTTCGCAGGAAACGGTGACCGAACTGAATCGACAACTCGCGAATTACGAGAAAGACAAACAATGTTTAACTGTTAGTGTCCTTAGCATAATTGTTTATAATCGATATATTGTTTATAAAATCAGGAATATAATTAGGAACCGAAATTACATTATTGTAGAACACGAAGCGGAAACTGTCTGCCGTACTGAAAGATTTGGAGAATTTAAAATGGGAGAACGAGGTGCTCGAGCTTCGCTTTGAAAAAGTAAGTACTTAATATTTAAGTGTGTTTACAACCGTGGACGTAAGAAGATTCACCCTGTCCTTGTTTAGTGTCAAGCCGAGAGAGATGAGTTACACTCTAGATTCGTCTCTGCTATTTTCGAACTGCAACAGAAAACGGGTTTGAAGAATGTGCTGCTGGAGAAGAAGCTAGAGAAGCTGTCGGATTTGTTGGAGCAACGCGAGGTGCAAATCAGCGAGGTGTTAGCCGCCGCTCAATTGGATCCCGTGGCAGTGGTTACCGTGAATAAAAAACTGGAGGTACGTATTTAGATACGATTTCATTGCAGTTTGCGTTTGGATCACGTATGACGATTCTATTCATGGTATTCTTTCCTCAGGATATGCTAAACAGAAAAAATACGGCAATACAAGAACTGCAATACGAATTGGCAAAAGTTTGCAAGGCGCACGACGATTTGTTGGCGACTTACGAGGGCAAACTGCAGGAATACGGGATCCCCAAGACCGAACTTGGATTTCAGCCTCTTAGAACGAAGATAGCCGGTGTGAAATGGGGCTTGGGTCCAGCTGGCCTTGTTACCGCAAATCGGTAGCACATGTAAATTCGTAAATACTCAAGTGTGTGACAAAGATTTTATATTTCCTTTATCCTAGAAAATCACGCGCATATTGCACTTTTACATATCTTTTTAATGAATGCATCAAGATAGCGTTTTTGATAACACGACGATTAACGCTTGCTAGATATACTCTATGAAGGATGTCCGCATATAAACACTATTTTTGAGATTCCGCAATATAAACGACGCACAGAATTAATTTTGACACGAAGTACTTTTATTCTGTAAAACGAATACATTTTCAGAGCACTTACGCATTACGTTCTCAAAAATTACATAAAATTATCACAGAGAATGTACAGAGTAGATCGTATCGATGCCTGAAAGTTATATAGCTAAATACTTGTCTGTTATCATATTATTTCTTTCCCTTGAATCGTATATCTCTTATCAATTTGTATCGCCCAATTGGCAATGAAGAGTTCGATAACACGAACGACTCACGTTTTTTTATCGTAATCATTTTATCAATCCCTGCGACCTATAGCGCCTTGACATTTCAGCGAGTATCTATAACAACTGGCAGGCACAAATACATTGAAGATACATTCATATATAGATGTAACGTACATAGATATAGACACATTGACTAGTCTAGCTTGTAAAACACTTTAAGTCAAATACATCAGGTCACATGGTTAATAAATGTCAAACACTGGCTTTTTATGTAAAATACTTCATCGTCCATCTCGCGTATAATATAGTCCGTAAACTCTTTTTTTCTCTCTTTTATAATACTTAACGATTAAGTTAACGATTAAGTGAAGAAATAATTTATCATTTGCTCACAGGTTTGTAAATATTATACAATGCGTTGTATAGATATAATTTTATAATACATATATAGATGTATACATATATATATGTATATATACGTACAGTATATTTACATATATATATACGTTTATGTGTATATTCAGAATTTTGGCACAATAAGAAATAGAATCACAGTTGAAATCATTGTACATCATAAGACTTACGGATGGTTAATACGTCGGTTTCGTGTCTGTGAAGTGTATGTTACACGCTCGCTACGATATGAAATTCACATTAAACGTGTAAACACAATTAACTCGAGACTATTCCGCTAGGCTACATTATAGAAAACTATAAACTACGAACTAACGTCAGAAGATCCAGTTCTCGGAAAAAGATCGCGCGAAAGTTAGAGATCAACCAGACAAAATTCTGAGCACTGCAAAATTTAGAATTTATCCGTACGCGTGTTTTTGAATTAGGCTCATTTGGTTACCACCTTATATTTGGAAAGTACACAGATCTCTGATCTATAACGTCTCTTTTTTTTCTCATATTAAATTTTTACGGCCGTGTCGAGTTTGTGTCTCATTGTCAGAGTCGTAGAAAAAATAAGCATCTGTTTTAATTTTAGATATTAGTGGTCCATTGTTCCTTTGTAAACCTCTTCTTCGAGTTTCTGGAAAGATTCGCTCGCTACATTTACAGGTGCATCGGTTCCTATAGTTTGTGTGCGCACACTAAATTTAAATAAGAGCGATATATATATGCGTAATATTGTTAAGCATTCCGACAATGATGTACTTACGCCATTACACATATAAAACGCGATGCAGCAACATACTTTCACTTGATTCCGCTACTGGCGAGATGTTGGTTCATATGATAAACGAGATAACGGCGAGCGTATACTTTCTGGGCATGAAAAAGGCATGGTGTGTATGCTTTCAAAATTATTATATACTCGCCTAAGTAGCAGAAGTAACTAATACGCGACGATTACTCGCGTTATTTGCACCCACTTGCGATCCGTTGCAAAGTTTGTAAAGTGATTCGAACGTCTAATTAAAGATCTGGTCGCCTTATCGACAATAAACAAAAAAAGATCGTGTAATTGAAATTGTCAAAAATTCTCTTGTAACTCAGTGGAAAACAAATTACTCTCCGAGAGTAATTTGCCTCGTTAAAAGAGAGATCACGTGTCGCAAAAGGCGCGCGTGTGATATCAGGTGATTTTGTGTCTTGTTGACTTTACGTTTTGGGACACCTGTGAGTCGCGTTCAACTCATTATCTTCCAATTAGGTAGAACATCAGCGATCAGCGTAGAAAAGTATGTTGTTACATTGTAAACTATAGTTTCGCCGGAGGCCAAAATGGCCCCAAACGAGCCGTAGGTGCCGTAATCTATTATGCTGTGGTTACACGCGGACAATACCGCCAGGTCCTTCCCCGGACCCTTGCCGTCATTGTCCGACACGAAACTGATCCTGTGACGTTTGCTGCGTAAGTTATATTTACACCAGGCGATATTATCGCTCGTCACTACGAAGACTACGTTGCTGTACTTGCCGGCGAAGTAATCCATCGCCGATAGGTAGTAACTTATTGGCGCGGGTCGCGTCTTCAGCTTCTGCCACAGATAATCTACGTAATCGGTTCTGCGCACGTGTACGCTGACGTATATCGGCGCGGATAGATTGAATTTCTCGGCGACTCGTTTCAGCACCTTCTCTGCGTATATCCTTAGACACGGCTTGAACGTGAACTCACGTCGTATGTCATCCAACCAGACTAGTATCAGGGACCAGTAAGCTGCGTGTCTGGAAATATTTATACGATGATTCGAATACATTTACAAATTACGACATCCACGTATTCTATCATTTACTTTAAGGCTTCTGGCTTTTTGCCGTGGCCATCTTGATTTATAACGTTAAAAGAGGAAGCACGCGCTAAAAATTCTTGCAAAATATATCATAAGAAATAAAAAGAACTAAAAACATAAAAAATAAAAAGAAGTATCTATAAACACTTTATAGATATTTTATACATACTTTATTCGACTTTATGACACTTTATAGATACTTCAATTGAGCTGACGTGTAAAATAGTCCGAATACTTTCATTCTAACGATCAATAAGTAATCGTAAAATTAACGTGACAAAATCATGAGAAAAGGTAGGTTAAAAAAGTAGATAAGTCACGTTAATTTTACGATAATTTATTGATTGTCGGAGTAAAAGGAAAGCGTTCGAACTATCTTACAGATGTGCCTGATCGACCGCAAGTGTAATTTTTTGGTCACATCTTTTTATTTCGTTGTATTTTACAAGAATTATTATCATGTATTTTTTTGCTTTTGACGTCATCAATCGGGAGTTCCGCAGCAAGGGAGCAGATGTCTTAATTAATTAGTACAACTATTACAGCTATTGTAAAGATATACAAAAGATACCCATAGCTATGAGAGATAATAGCCGCTGTTACGACCCGTTTCATCAACGTCAGCTTGAATCTCAATTAATCTCCCGTTCTTTCCTAAGCCCAAAACTATCGTGGCATTAAACAAGGTCCAAGTGATTCGACGTTGATGAAATCGACGACCAGCCGGCGACGTCGCCGCAAGAGCGTGTCGTTGCCAATCACTACCTAGGTATGATGATGTTCTGCTCCGTGCTGTTCCACTGGCCCAACGAATTGACCACCTGACCGACGTCCAACGTGCACCTGCCGATGTAGCTAAGCGGCGGGATGCTCAGATTGTCGAAGTACTCTTCCAAGGTCTTGAGGATACAGCGCGGCATGAACGGCTCCAGGCCGGTGCGCCTCGCGGTAGCCCACACTGACGCGTACTCCCAGATCTGGTTGCCCAGCCTACCGCCCTGCACCGCCGACACGATGCCGTACTTGGGGCACGGGTTGCGCCACTCCGGCGGTACCCGGACATTTTTCAGGGTGGTGCGACAGAGTGCCTGCTCGTACGCGGAGATCTTCGTGTGGCGGGCCGGCGGGTTAGACGTGTACATGGGAAACAGGAAGACGTGGATGCCGAATACCACTATCAGCGCGAGGACTATTGCGCTCGCAAGCACATGCTGTTGAGCGTGACTCATTCTCCACGTTTTGCGCCACGCGACCTTTCGAGCGACGGGGTGCTCTCTCTTTCTCCCTCTCTCTCTCGCTCGCTCTCACGCTCTCTCTCTCTCGCTCTCTCTCTCTCTACGTGCTTGCTCTCTACCCTCTTTTCACTACTTGCTCTGCCTCTCGCTTTCTGCCTCTACTGGTCGGCCGCTCGCTCTCTCGCGCACGCTAGTCCGGCATTTCGTATCTACAGGTGTGCCATGTCCTTTGCTTTCCGACGTACATCTTGGCAACGATAATGCGATTAATGAACGACAAGCGCGTGAATATGGTGGGTGCATGCATATCGTGTGCTCGCGTCAGGTTCGCATCAGAGAGAACGGGGGTGGTTCAAGCGATAGCCTGTCGCGCGGATGTTGAGGCGTGTGTCGTTTAAGAGTGCAGCGAGACGCTTATTGTTTATGTATGTGTGTGTGTATGCATTGTTCTGGAAGTAGTTTATTTCAGACGACCAACTATGTCTCTCCGCGAGATAATGAAAAAGAAAAAGGACATGGCCAACACTCTGTTACTATGCAAAGCTCAAGTAAAATCGCATGCGGGAAAAAAGCGGAAGAAACAGCGACAAATCTAAGTCACAACGTCAGCCACGTAATATCGTGAGGAATTAAAAGAGTGAATCGTATATTGCGACATCGATAACGGTGCAATTTCGTTGAGCGCGACTTCCAACGCCGGCCGCGGGATTTGTTTTTGCACGCTTTTTTGCGATAAAATTGCCGTGAAGTTCGTTATCGTGCACTTAAGGATCATGCACGAACGGCAGCGGCGCACGAACCGGCAATTTTTCTCCTTCAACAAGTTACAGCTATATCCGAGCGGTGTTAATAGGAGCGTAATTAACACGTGGGACGGCGGACGGGGAGAGGGTGCGGGGGGTGTGTAAACCTCTTATTACGATATTCGCTCCACGGAGCATTCTCATCCTTTCGCGATCGAAGGTAACGTCGAAGAGTTTTGAAAAATATGTGTGAACGCAACCGCGTTACGCGCTGTCGCATTTACCGTAGACTTTTTATCAATATGAGAAAACTTCAACATTAAAGCTGCCGTTGGAATATTGCGTGACGTATAAACAGTCCAGAGAAATTATGAAAAACTGAAAGCTAGACAGAAAGCTTCTTTTTCCCGAGTTGATTATATTTGTAAAAAAAAAGGACTGCATCAAAAGACGAGCTTTCTCGCGAGACTTTTCGCGAGATTTTTCTGCGAAAAATTCTCCGTGATCTTCCAATGCAACCAGATCGCATAATGCAATCTTCTTCGCTATTTGTATGACGACAAAGCTCTTGACTCACACCGAGACGCATATACAGGGTGTTTATCGTAACGATTCCACTATCTTTTTTACCAGTTAATAGTCGGGCAGGAAAAAGTTCTGGATGCAATTAATCAGTTTTTAAATGGCAATAAAATATAATCATAAACATTTGGAAGTATTCTTTTCTCTAACAAAATCAAATAATTTTTTAGTTGTAGTATCGTAAGAAGGATCAAAACAAGTTCAACAGTAACTCATAATGTTATTTCTATTAATATTTAATATACATATACGATGATATTTGGAATGTAATATAGTGAATAACGTTAGATGCTCATACAAAACATGTTCGAAATATAATCTATTTTTTGCAACACAAAGCTTTGCTTTTTATAATGGAGTTTTATAGTCGCATCAATTATGGTATTTCGATTTATATTTCTGCATGCTTGTGTTGAAATTCTGCATTATTATTTTACTGTGCTCTTTTTTGCTGTGAAAAAGCGATAAGAGTTCGATTTCAAAGAATTTCTGAACTGAGTGCACAGTAATGCAATATAAGTTAGAGTTGAAAAAGTATGGTTGTTTCAGTCCAACTTATTGTACTAATACAAAAGTTGTTCGGGAACGAACAGACCTAAAGATAACGTTAGAAGTTACGCAATAAATAGAAAAAGATATGTGCGTGTGGCTATATTTAAAAAATTAAAGTTGGCCTTGACTTTTTTACGAAAGAAGGACGCTTTCGAAATTTTTAACGTTGCATATTATTACATATATCACTTTGAAACTGAATAATGTTATTTAGAATTTTCTTCTGTTCGATCATTGCAACCGATAAAAATATAGCATACCATTATAGCGAACACTCTGTATATACTTATGTACTTGTTCGAAGCTATTGCGTCGCAGGGAGAAAGTTAAGTGCGCGACATATACCTTGAATTATTGTCAATGTAGAGCAAAAATTGATCAACGTAGCGCATGCAACTGCTATTAACCCCTGAAAGAATTCTCGAGAAATCTCGCGAGCAAGAGAGCATATCTTTCTCTGGAATTGTAATTAATAATATTACACCCGTCAAACATGATTGCTTCACGGATATTGGAGTTGAAGTTGACATCAACGTAACTGAGCGCGTCAGCTTCTTTTTGATAAATTTCTTCCCATTGTTTATATCGCGCGCTTGAAGGTTATATTATTGAAATTAATCTAAAAATAAGAAATTGGAACGCGACCTGACCCGAGATGCCTCTGGAACGCCTCTCTATCCAGCCTCTAGCCTTTCTAGCGCATGTATGTATGTGCGCGTATATTCATCGAAAATCGAACTCAACGAATTCCGTCCCACGACACTCTCCGGAATCTGTCAGATCCGCGTCTCGAGAAGGAAAGCCACACTCACCCGTTCCGACGAACTCCTCACGATTCGCGACGCACAGGTCGAGCCTCACAACTGGCCGCGAGGTTGACTCATTCATGTTTGCCCGGCGTGACACCCTCCGATGCTTGTTGCACCCTAGCCGTCGTCGCCGTTGTCCTAAGTCGTAGCAGACGTCGTCGGCGCAGCACTTCCCGCTCGCGGCGAACGCGACACAACGTTCACGTCGTTCCGCCGCCGCGAGAGTTGTCCTCTCCTCGCGTTCCCCACGACAACCGGGGTGTTCGTCGTCGGCCCAGACGAAGGTGAGCCGCTATCCTCTCTCTACCCCTTTCTCTCTCCCCCGGGAACGTTGTCCGTCGGGGAGAGTGTGACGTCACCGACTGTCGTTACTCCCTGCCTCACGTCCGCGTATAGATTTTTCATTTCTACTGGCGCCAACCAGACCGGCGCGTTTGCTGTGCTTTGCCACTTTCGTTCACCACCTTCCGTTGGTAACGTTTGGATGTTTAGGTGGAAGAAGAATCTTTTGAGACATTCACTTTTATAGAGCAGATCGTTTCAAATTGCGGGAAAGTAAAGTGGCGATACGTGAGTATTACAACGATATATGAATTGTTGCTCTGTTACGTCGTTCACACTTTCTGTACTTTATACACCCGGAGAACAGATACTGTAATCTCAGTTATTTCAAGTCGCGTTCTTTACATGAAAACAAAATCGGAACATATTTATACTGTAAAATAAAAAAATAAAATGAAGAAATTAAATGCGTAAGTTACAGTAAGAAAGAACAGGTTATTGTAAAACGGAAACGGGAAGAGGACTAAGTAGTGTAGAAAGTGTACGCATCGTGCATTACTTCTAAATTATATGCTGAGAGCCCTATTCTGTAATTAGTTGTTACTAAATAATATTTATACGATAATGACTGTCTTGTTAACAATCTCTGAATGATAATTTGTAAAAGACTATTCTATAACCACGTCATTAAAGTCTAAATGACTAACTCCGTTTAACGAATTTTATAAGGATTGGTATTAAAATTGTATAGTTTACTCACATAAGCTATAGATTCTCAGTATAAACAGTACACATTGGAACATAGGTTAAAATAGTAGAAAGTTAAAAATATTTAGATTTTCTTCGCTCTCGGTAATTATTTAGATATAATTATCATTATATATATATATATATATATATATATATATATATATATATTATTTATATATATTATATATAAATTACATATATATATTTTTTTGTAAAAAATGAATAATAGTGAAGAAAAGAAGAAACGAGCTGCTAAAACTACGCGTAGGCAATATGAAATATATTTGGAAGAACTCCGTGTAAATCAATTATTTAGAGGGCTCGGGACAGCTAATTTCGGCCGATTCTCGGGAGCTATGTCTTCTATCTCCCCTTTGCCGCGCGGCGGGCCTCAAAAGTGACGGTTGCTTCAAGCTTGGAGACTCGACCGTCACTTTTGTGACCCGCTTGCGGCAAGGGATATAGAAGGCGTAGCTCCCGAAAAACGGCCAAAATTGACAAACTGTTCCGAGCCCTGATTTAGGGAAAACAAATTAGATGCAACCTAATATTATTGAAGATTCGTGGCAGAATTTCTGCCAAAAATTAAAAGCTTCTGGTGGACTAATACCCAGTGAAAACAGCTTAGTCAAAATGATGTCAATATGACATTAAAAACGTCGTTTGTTATCATTGCGTTAAAAAAATAATTTAATTTGATGAAAAATTGACATCAAATAAATTAATGTTGTGCGCAATAAAATTTCATAAGAAAAGGTAAAAATGGATGTTTAGATGATAATTGTAGTATTATAGGCAGAAATGTAATCCACGTCATGTTGAAATAAAAATGACTACAGGATAATAAGACTATTTAACTTATTCTTTATGATTTCTTTCTTTTTCTTTTATTCTGTTATGAGAAAAATTTCCGCCGTTGTTTTGTTTGGGATATGTGGTGATTAGGTTCCAATTAATTGACTCTCTTTTTATAACATGAATACATTACTATATTTGGTCTATCATATATGTATATATGTTCTTATTTCTATAGATCGCTACGCTATTTTTCTCTAAACATTTTTCTCTAAACGCAGGAGGGTTCGCCGTTGTCGAGCGTTCAGGCGAGGTTCGCCGTTCTCTTTACTCTCGTTGACGTAGTGGGGGGAAAGTGGTTCCTTTGCCTGCTAAGGAAGCGGTGCACTTGGACACGGTGCATTTGGACACAGCCAATCACAGCACCATGTTATTAGAGACATTTGTAGGGTCCCTTGGAACAGCGACTTGTGATTGGACTGTGTCTAATTGCCTCGTGTCCAACTGATATACACTCGCCTTCTGATAGTAGTAGTAGCATTGATGACCGGGATGCTGCGGTTCCTTCTGTAGTTTTTCGACCTCATAAAGAATCTTGTCAGTCTTGTCGAACTGTCTGGAAAGGATTTTTTCTTCTGCAGAAATTAGGGTGACCTTAGTTACCTTCCAGCTAGAGAGATTTGTATTCGATCTGCTTGCTTCGCGATATCCTCTAGTGGGTCCTGTACTCGTGTGGCTAGAATTTCCTGCAAATGCGCAGGAAGACGACCTAGCCAGAGCTTACGCAGGAAGGAGATCTAGCTCGCAAAGGTCTGCTTCCGAGATGATAGCCTTTGTAAAGCTAAGGAAATGGTATTGAAATTGTGAATATTTTCGGTCCCTTAGCTTTTTGTGCTTCTCGAGTTGTCGAATTTGCTGTTTTTCTTGCAAGGCTTGTTGAATTAGAGCCTTTCTGGCTGCAATATATCTCTCCGTGTCCGATGAGTTGATTGTAGCGTCCTTCACCTCTCTGGCATATTTCAAATTTAGTTGAGAGAGGACGTGCGCGTATTTGGTGGAATCTTGAGTGATTCCGTTGAGAGTAAACTGACTCTCGAACATTGCGAACCAGAATTTGGGGTCGTCTAGCCAAAAATTCGGAACAAAGACGACGCTATTAACGTGCTGCTCATCTGTCCGCGTCTTTTGGACGTCAGTCTGATCCATTTCCGTGTCCGCAGTACCCCCTTTGTCTTCACTGTAAAGTCCTTTTCGCCAATTTTTAGCGCCTCTGTTTTCAGCGGTTATCGCAGCTGCCAAAAAATCAGCACGTTTTTCACTACTTATATAGCGCGTATTGCAGCGCTTTGGGAGGTGCTCAACTTTCCACAGGGGCCTCCTTTTATAGGCCCCTTGGTGAGATTTTTCCTTCGAGCACAGTGACTTGGGTGTATATCAGTTGGACACGGGGCAATTGGACACAGTCCAATCACAAGTCGCTGTTCCAAGGGACCCTACAAATGTCTCTAATCATACGGTGCTGTGATTGGCTGTGTCCAAATGCACCGTGTCCAAGTGCACCGCTCCCCAGTGACTTCGCCGAACGATGCCTAGCGGTGGAGTCGCGGACTACGCGTTCTCTTAAGGTCGTTCTACATTAGTTGTAAGTCGATTGCAACCAGACCCTAATAGCACGCATATTCAAAAGACGTCCAGAGAACATCCAGAAAATATTCAAAGGACATTTTATGTTCTATGGATATCCACTGGACGTTCCCTGAACATTGCGTGCTATTAGGGGAGCTGCCACATGTAGGACCGAGTACGCGTAACTATAGTGCGTGCGGCATAGCGCACACAAGCGAAGAATTGTGTACGTGTGGGCTGCCTGTCACGAACGGAAGCGGTGCACTTGGACACGGTGCATTAGGACACAGCCAATCACAGCACCGTGTGATTAGAGACATTTGTAGGGTCCCTTGGAACAGCGACTTGTCACCCGACAATATACGGGCGGATATACACCCGTCACGAACTATAGCGCTTGGCGCTTCGGCCAGGCTCGGGCGGTGGAAAAGTGCAGACGTACAAGCCGCCGTCTCTCTCTCGAGCTATAGCTATAGCTAATACTGCAAGCGGCGAGAATCATGTCTAGGCCTTTTTATTATATCTCGACGCTCGCGTGTTGCTTCTCACGTGTGCGTACTTTTACTATTTAACTAATTGTTACATTAAATAGAATTTTTTTTGACACATAAAATACACTCGTCAACAAAATTATCGCATAGGTTAATTTATATCGAAATGTCGCACAATTTTTAATAAGCATAATACCGCGAAACATTATCGTATTTGAAAATTTTTTTTATTTCAAAAGTGAAGTCTGTATTTTAAGAAGCATATTAGTCAGATATTTTGAAATTATTCTCTCCCCTTTCCGCAGTCTTTTCACAAGTAAAGACGTGTTGCGTCTCCAAAAAATTGCACAATGTGACGTATTCCACGGGATGGAATAAATTTTTTTCGTAAATTTTATGATAACTATTGTAAAGTATAGTCTTTTCCCTACAATTAAGACAAAAAGCGAATTTGTGCGTTTTTTTCGCGGAGTTGAGAAAAAAACATATCAAAGTTACCTATATATTTTTGTTATCACTTCATTTGACGCACTCTATTGAGTGGAATCAATTCTTTTCACAAATCTGACGATAATCATTCTAAAATATCAGCGTTTCTTTACAAATAGAAAAATAAAGAAGAGGTATACATTTCTTCCGCGATGTTGTACGGTATCAAAGTTACCTATACATTTTTAATCAGTTATTGTGACGTGCACACATACACGCACGTGCAGCACACACACACACACATACACACACACACACATAATGCGCAAGACCCGACCAGCAACCTCCCCGTGGTACGCATCGGTAATGTTAATACTAACGGTAACTGATTAAAAATTTATCATCAGTACATTTGATATGCCGCGAAACAAAGTCATGTACATTTCTTCTTAATTTTCTTATTTGCAAAGAAACGTTCATATTTTACAATGATTATTGTAAGATTTGTGAAAAGAATTCATTCCAGTAGAATGTGTCAATTAAGCGATTTAAAAAAAATGCATAGTTAACTTTGATATGTGCGAAAAAAATCGCACAAATCCGCTTTTTTTTAATTGTGGAAGAAAGTCTATACTTAACAATAGTTATCATGAAATTTACGGAAAAATTTATTCCACCCCGTAGGATACATCAAATTGTGCAATTTTTTTGGAGACACACGTTTTTACTTGTGAAAAGACTGCAGGAAGGGAAGAGAATAAATTGAAAATCCGACTAATATACGACGAGTGTATTTTATGTGTAAAAAAACTTGTATGTAACATTTAATGTAACAATTAGTTAAATAGTAAAAGTACGCGCACGTGAGAAGCAACACGCGTCGAGATATAATAAAAAGGCCTAGACATGATTCTCGCCGCTTGCAGTATTAGCTATAGCTATAGGTCGGGAGAGAGACGGCAGCTTGTATGTCTGCACTCTTCCACCGCCCGAGCCTGGCCGAAGCTCCAAGCGCTATAGTTCGTGACAGGTAGCCCACACGTACACAGTTCTTCGCTTGTGTGCGCTACGCCGCACGCACTATACTTACGCGTACTCGGTCCCACATGTGGCAGCTCTGTGCTGGGATTCTGTAACTCGTTATTGGAGTTAACGACAATTTCGTTATTGTTGCGCAGCTTTTCTACGGTATACAAAAGCTGCGCAACGATAACGAAACTGTCGTTAACTTCAATAACGAGTTACAGAATTCTAGCGCTGATTGCAACTCTTGTTGCTAGAGCCAATTAGAAGCGTCAATACCATTGATGCTTTTGATTGGCTGTCGCAATAAGAATTGCGTTTGCGTACGATCGGCTTGCAACTAATGTAGAACGACCTTTATACGCTCCGTGTGGGCGACGCTCGGCGGTTTATGGCAGCGTGCAAAATTGTGGCGATATATATCCGCCACATTTTGTAATATAATATATATATATATATATATATATATATATATATATATATATATATTGCAGCGTTGTTTTTTAATCGTAATATATATATTGCGATACAGTAGGCTGTAGATAACTTTCTGCCTTAAAGGCTGTAGGAGCGGAAAATGTATGTACTATGTACATTGCATGTTACATTCCGTTTCATTACGATAATATAACTGTTATATATCTGTGTTTGCTGCCCTACTGAAAAATTTCTATTGAGATCACAATTGAATTCCCAATTGAATTCTCAATTAAATTCTCAATTGAATTTTCAGTTGAGGTTTCCGCAAAATTTCGCATGTAAGATCTCAATTGAGATATTTGTATCTGATGGAAATAATTCATTGAAAATATAAT